CACTGAAGGATGGGGCAAATGCAAAGGACCTCAACTTAAGTAAAAGTATAATACTGGATTGAATATTGCATTGATATATGAGATAGACATAACATGTAATTATGTCAAATAAAAAAATGTAATAAATCTTGACAATAAAGGTAGCACATGCATGGTGAGAGTGCAAAAATTTATTGTTCTCCAATAATGATATTTTAAAGTATGTTATGCTGTTAAAAAAAAAAAAAAAAAAAAAAAACTCAAGTATGTACCAGCATAAATACCTGTATGTGATGATCTTATTGTACTACTCACTTCTCAAACAGAAGTATAACAGAGAGGTACACTACCGAAATATATCTGTAAACACAGATGCTGAAAGTTTAATGGCTTCAACAGAAATATTTATACACTGAGCGTCATGTAAAAGATCTACACATTACATAAGGCAGTACATTATTCAAACAGCAGGAGGTTAAGAGGCAAAAAGTCAGTGTGAAACAAGCTTCATCATTTTGGCTATAGGCTATATTTAGGGCTAAATCAGACCACAAATAAAGTCATTTATCACAGTTAATGTTTTGATTTGATAATTGCAACAGTGAATCATCTTTTTGAATCATATTTTTAGCTTAAAAGTGATCAGTATAATTTGATTTAGTTTTATTAGAGAGTCTACGTCGATTCGACTCAGCCCACTACTATACAACAATGAGATTAAGCATGAAAATAGACCCCTGTCAGTGGGAGGGGTTGGGTTGAATCAAGTCACTATTAGAAAGGAGCATATATCAGCACCTGAACACTTACTCCAATGTGCACAAACACTGAGGGTGAGATGGGTTAAGTGTCACGCCCAAGGAAACAGGAACAGCATTAATCTGTGAGAACTGGAATCGCAGCACCAACCTGTGGGTCAGTGGATTTGGATGCTCTACCGATGATGTTTATGTCGAGAGCGGGATTCGAACCACCAACCTCCTGAGCAATGGACAAACACCAACTGAGCTACAGTCACCCTATTGTGTATAATTTTGTTCTATTTCTTTGTTACTTTTCAGTAAGTCTGTTGATTCTTGTACAAATTACTATCTAGTTTTGAAAGTAGTTTTAGTATTGATTGATATCTGAGTATAGGCCTATATTCTCTTGACCATTACAAAACTTATAAAGAAATAAACTAGATGTGCGAAACTATAGTTAATCTACTTTAAATCCCCTCTAATGGGAAGTAAAGAAAGCAAACTAGATTCTGTCCTCGTGATTAAACATTACATAACACATCACATATACCGTTTTTGGATCAGAGCGGGCTGCAAAATGGCCCAAATCTCCGGTGGATATCAGCTGTGTTCTGGTTTGTTTAGCATGGCAAAGAGAAAAACAACTAGATCACTTTCATTGCTTTGGATAAGACCATTGTTTGTGGTGCGCTTGACCCCTCCGAGCCCTAAATCCCTGAAAAGGCGCAGTGTCTGTTGGATATTGCCTCACGTCTCGCACTGTGCCAAGCTTTAGCCCATTGGCCGCTCTTTCATTCAACTTGTTCAGCTTTGGCAGCGACCCCTCATGCCCCCGCTGCAAAACATCCCAAATAGACAAGATTAAAATTCGAAGGACTGCGTAATATCCCCTCCCCCTGGGTGCATGGAGACGAGAGCCAAGGAGAGAGAGTGGCCAAAGCGTTGGGGGGACGTTGGTGGAGATCCAGATAAGTGACCAGCTATGGAGCAGGGAAAGACATGCACCACAGAGAGAATGGAGCGAGCAAGAGGGAGGAATTTTAATGAAGTTATATTGTCACAACAGTAACCCAAAGTCAAGTCAGGTTTGGGAGTATGTACAGTGGTGGGTAGTACTCAGTTACATTTACACAAGCAGTCTATATTTACTTGAGTACATTTTTAATAAAATTGCGCAACAGTGTACTTTTCAGGCACCATACTTTTACTGTTTGAGTAATATATTTTACAAATAAGAGTGAAACTGTACAACTTGAGTACAACTTTTGGTTCTTCCCAATGAGAGTGAGTCTATTGCTATAGTAACAAAGCATAAGGCAACATTAAACATTTGTGTTTCTTGCACCTCTCCTTCAGGTAAGTTTTTTTTTGGTCTAAATACCAGATTTTGTGTATTTTTATGTTTTGTCGTTCCGATGACATGATATTCAATTCAAATCCTAAATCAGATGTTACAGTATGTTCTGGGAGTTAGGCTACTTTTCAAGGAGCAACAAGGAATACAAAACAAGATCACTATTACCCCCTTGTGGTACAAATGAAAACATAAATTTGATAATGATAGCATAATTTTATTATAGAAAGAATATGTTATACCTTTATATACTACATTTTGGAGAAGGGTCTATCACTTGCTTGTCTCATGAAACCTGCTTTGCCTGGATTGCTGTTCAGTATGGTATTAGCTGTTAACTGCTAATTAATCCATCTTTCTTTCTTCAATACAGACGCCACAACTACTTGGGGTTGATGGAATAACCTTGTCTCCATGCAGAAGTTTTAGGTCAATTCAGCAAAACAACAGAGAAAAGATGGTTTCATATCTGCCATCAAAAAAGTTTTTCATCTTATTCATGGGTTAGTCAAATTCAAGACCTTGTTCAGTCTCATTTTAGATCATGCTTAGCCCTAAATTAGGCCTGATAGTCCAGGTTTGGATCTTGTGGTACTCAGAAAGGAACATATTATCTCAGGTGGCACGAAGGTTTGAGAACCACTGCTCTACACTGGGGACTAAAGCTTTGTCAAAACGCCTATTGTCCCATAAAGAAGAACATGAAGTTTGTCCTCAACTGTTTTTACTTCTGTTCACTCTGTGAGATTAATGACCCCATCTACACAGAGAGGAGCCAGAGTCTGCAGTCAAAACCGCTGCATCACCACCTTTCTCTGAGGGAGGGAAGGGTCTAATTAAAGCTCTATGTTTCCGAATGGGACAGGGAGTTCTGGGCTACTTCCTGGTGGGACGCTCCAAATCAGCGCTTCTGCCCCCCACACCTCCCATTGTCCACCCTGCCCTCACCTATCACTGAGGCAGATATAGCCAATTAAGGAGTAGAGGGTCCTGGGCACATAGCCATGATCAAACACAAGTCCTACAATACCAATATTTCTCGTAAACTGCATTGTTTGACTGCAAAGGTACTTGCTACATACCATTAACCTTCAGGATACACTAATTGGCATGCAGTGGTTTTGCACTTTGTAGATGCTATTTTTACTATTGCTATTTCATTATTATTATTATGTTATATAGTGGTTTGTAAATATTATTATTCATGAGTTTCCTATAGCCCATGAAGAGGGGAGCAAATTTTTATTAAAGCTGCACTCTATGCGACTTAAGAGTCTGCCACATGCTTGTCTAAACTTATGATCCACAAATGCTGAACCCTAATATTATTTCTTAATTGGTCATAGTTGGCTGCTCATGTGGCTGACTGGCTGGCACACTGAACAGTTTTTTTTTTTTTTTTTTATGTTACATTTTGACCAGCTAAGAACTGCACCATATGTAATTTGAGCTGTTTGTTTTACCTGCATCCATGGCGGAGGAAGCTATGTTAATCAGCTAGCTCTGAAATGTTACAGACAAGGTAAGTATGTCTTTCCACACTAAGTATGGCTGAAGGCTGTCCAGAAGAAACACATCAAGGGAATGGCCCTCTCACCACCAACTGAAACAACAGAGCGGAGTCAAAGAGTTCACCTGGCTCCCTCTGGGCACTGCTGTGATGCTGCTGCTGCCATTAGTTTCCTCAAACTACCCTGACATGGGATCTGATGGCCCTACCCAATGAGCTGCACTGAGACTTTTGTTTGAGCTTTCTATTATTGTTTTTTACTGCTCAGTGTATTTAAATTGCACCTTGGGGACAAATAAAGTGATACTGATTGATTGAGTGATTAGTGATTATCTTAAAAAACTCCACCAAGTTAATCTTATGGTCATGATGCTGTGAAAAGATCATTTAACTCTTGCACATTTGCTAAACTTTGTGCTAGTTTCTGTTTCATGTGAATAGGCCCAGTAATAAGATATTAACCATCAACTGGGCCAACAAATCTGCAATCTGACACTGAAACAGCAAATTCCAGCATAGGACCTATGACCTGTTCTCCATCTTAATTTTCAACTACAGAATTCTAGAAAATTTTAATAACACGTGAATACAACCTACAGGAATCCTGATGGCAGAAAACCCATACTCACCATTTGTGAGACAGCTCTATTTTTATTTACCTTGAGCAGACTCATGCCTTTGTATGCCTCTGCTACTGGTGGTCCCATCAGCCTCTCAGAGCAGGGTACAGCATGTGTGCAGTTGTCAGATGCAGGTGACAGGCGTACAGCCCCACAGAGGGATGGGGCTAACGGTATCCAGGCAGCAGGTGCTAAAAGCAGTCAGCTCAGGGGTCCTTCGGGGGTCGTAGGTGAGTGAACCGGAGGTATTTGGAGAGCAGGGACCAGGCAGAGTGATGGAGGAGGATCCTATGTGTGGCGTTTGTGTGGAGCAGAGGTTGACTTTGATGTTAGTTGAGTCTGGCAGAAAGATAAATTACATTATACATCAAAATGACAGGAGGGAGAAGCAGGCTTGTCACAATATGAAATTTTATGTGATGTATTGCGACAGAAAATAAGAAAAATTCATTTGTTTTATATAGCACATCTTTGGACACTCAAAGGCTATTTACATTGTATTATCCATGTATCACACACCTGGTGATGGTAAGCTGCTATTTCAGCCTCGCCTGGGGTAGACAGTCAGGCTGCCAGTCTCATTTCTGTATTTTTTTTAAGCAGTGGAAAAAGCAGTAGTCCACAAAAGTCGACAGTCTAGTTTCCGCTTGGACAATACTTTTGTGTCATTATGCAAGATATTTCTCCCACCTTGTCTACTAGTGTGATGTCCAGTGATGTGTTGTTTATAAATGTTCCCCTATCCTTTTTATTACCTCAGCAGTAATAAATAGAAGCACAATAATAAGTCCATATATTATTGACAGACCAGGATCTTTTATAGCATCTTTATAAAACAATATTTTAAAATCAGCTGTCATGTGCAAACAAGACTGAATGATTCAAAATAATCAATAAATACCATACTTGTGATGCAGGCAAACAGATCTAGTCATCGAAGCACAACCTGTCACAGTACTGAAGTGAATAAATCAATCAACTGCGTCTCATTAGAAAGAAATTTGGATATGATTGGACTAATAAACAGAAATGTGCAATTGAGAAATGCATTCATGATGTAAATTGGTAAATTGCCTATCTACACTGCTTTATATCTGTTTAAAGGGAGGAGATATAAGGCAATGTCCCATCAGCACTTGACCAGAACTGAAGATGCCATTTGATGAGTGCTGAAACGTCTTCACTCTAAAACCAGTCAACTTTTTTTTTTGCTATGGAACCTACCTGCCTAAACTGAGGGATTATGCAAATATAAAGTTTAGAATTATTTCAACTGTCAAAAAATAACTGTTCAGAAGAGGGATTATTTTTAAGACATGCACTATTACTATCCAACTGACAGTATTATTTTGAAATAATTAGATGAATGTACAATAACACACCTTGATGCAGTGTATGTTTTTATGCAGTAAATATCGCACTCTCTCATTTTTTTCAAAATCGAGTACAGTGTTAGTTGTGCCTGGACAAGGTAGTCACTCCTATACCCACTAGACATGCCACATGGTTATGCTTTTATGCCACCAACAATTTTCAAAGCAAAGTTTGAGACAGAGACAGAGCAGACAATAAAGAAAGACTTGAAAAAAAGCAAAACAACTTTGAAATCTGGGACACTGTGATTTCCTGTTTCTTGATACATCCCCAAAATGTCCATTCGTCTTGAGCCAAATTTGTCCAAACACCAGTCCAGTCCAATTTACTGCAGGTTGAGGGAGGGCATCAGAGGACAATGTTGGGCTGACGTGGTCCTTTTGCTTTCCCTGAAGGAGGACCCACATCAGGTGTCCACAACCTAGAGGTATACGGCCTTCCTGAAAAATCTAAAAGTGAAGACATAAAGTTAAATGATATGATGATAATGATAAAGTAATGAAAAAGTAAGCTACAGATGATTTTTTAAAAGTATATGAGTAGAACAATTTTCAACAGTTGCAACTCCAGACAGTGGGGTGCACATATACTAGTTTAGATTTGTCTCCATGGAAATAGATGATATTGTGAAACATTCCAGGCAAACAATCATCTCTATTGTTGGTTTCTACTTCCCACATTTAATAATTATTTTGCATATTATAGTTACAGGTGCTGTTTCTATGTTGACATAGCTTTATTTGTGTTATCATTAAATAATATAATTTTTGTTAACACTCACCTGATACATTTTAACATATATTCAGTCTCTCTATGGCTCCCTCTCAGATGACACATCTCCCTCTGCTCCACTGCTGGCGTTGGTGTCTTGTCTGGACCTTAGCGCTCCTTTGTCACGACCTGACTCTGAGGGACCTTTGGAGCGCGTCTTCTCTTTCCTCTGCTGCTGCTTCTCCTGCTTTGACAGCTAAGAAAAGACAATAACATATAATACAACATATACATGACTGCAACATGTATTTTGCATGTTCAATTTACATAACTGAACATGCAATCTATCTTTATTGACAACACCTAGAGGGTTATAGTTGAAATAGCCAATGGTATGGTATAGGCTTTTAGTAAACTTAAGTTAATTTTATCCTTAATCTATTATACATTTGAGGCAATACATTTATAGACATAATGCCTTCTTCTCACAATGAAGTGTAATCATGATAAGGTGTACGTCATATAATATAGTTATTATCTAATTAACTAAGTAACTAACTAAATACAATAGTGTCTACCTGCTTAGGGTCTGTGGGTCCAGAGGGTGATGTCAGCTCAATGGTAACAGGTCCATCATTCTGAATATGAACCTGCATCCGAGCTCCAAACTGTCCATCTATAAATATAGAAAACAATGTTATTAAACTTTTATGTTCTAGGGACATTACTTCTTTTACTAATTGGTTATCATTTAAGACATGTGGCTTTAAATTATGTGTAGTAGTAGTCTATGAGATTAATGGCACTACTATCTGAACACAGTACAAGCTTCGATTCAGAGGAGCTGTGTCATCATATTTTCTTTTTACTGGGGTGGATAGGTCTAATTAGACTAGAACTAGGTGTTCTCCACAGCTCCTCCCTCATGGCCTGACCCAGTTCAATGCCTCTGCCACCACCGTGTCCTATGAAGATGCCCCAAGCCTACCACTCTGAACTAGCCTCACCTTACAATGAAAAAAGAGGCAATTAAATAGGATTGAAACCTCTGAATCAGTGTCAAATTACATGTTGAATAGTCTGCAAATCACAAAGGTTCAATTATTTAAGAGATAATGTCTAGGGAATTAAACAGACTATGTCTCTACTGAGCCTTATTAAATATAAAACCTGCAAACCCATAGCTTAGACTTGAACAAAAATGTTCTGAAATGTTTGAAATTGTATTACTTTAGATGTTAATATATTTTCAGTCTTCCTAATGTTGCTGAACAACAATTCAGCAATTTGATATTTTCCAAAATTATTCAGTCCTGACTTTAAGACAGCTGAACAGTGTTTGTAGTTTTTGTTTCCAATAATCCCCTAAACAGAAAGGTGTGGAGAGTCAGTACATTTTTGCCACTTCTCTGCTGCCTCAAGAGAGTTAACTAACCTTTAATGAGCTCTGGTTTGTAGGAGCTTCTCAAGTTCTCCAGGATGCTGTTGTAGAAGGGCTGGGCAAGCTCTGCAGGCATGGCTGAGTGGAAGTCTGGCTTGTTGCCCTTTAATATGCACTGCAGCGTGAACTGGCTCACACACAATATCTCAAACTCTTTCTCCATTACACTTTTAGTCCACATTTTGCCATTCTCATCGTCGAAAAGGCGCAGGTTCAAGATCTTGCGAACACTAAAAAAAGACAAAGTAAAATGACTAAATATAGATCAAGAAAGATTCTTGTTGGGAAAAAAAAAGCAGCACAAATAGACCATTATTTTTAGACTGAAGACATGCTAAAATAATCCAAGCAACTCCAGAATAGATGAAAGTCAGCTATTTCTGTATTTAAGAATGATTCCAAACAACTACATGTATTTCCACCTTACTTGCTGAAAAAGTCATAATGATTATATTTATTACTATATTATTTTTAAAAGACATCTGCAAAATGAATGCAATATTTTAGAAAAATAACTCCTGCCACTGGGTTTGATATTATTTTTGTTTTGAGTACAAACAACATAACTGGGGCATGTGGTGAACTAATATAAAATACTAATATAAATACAATGAGTACATTTAAAAACTAATCCCAAATGGTAAAGCCCCTTCTTTTATGTCAGTTTATGTTGCATTAAGTTACATTACAAGTCTGTATTTGCAAAAGAACCCTAGCAGGAAGTAACAATTTAATAAAAGCTGGTTATTATGAGTTACAAGTATTGGGTACATAAAAAGCTGATCATCAAAATATAAATCTGTACAAATACTTACATGTAGTCTGCATCCTTTTGTGTATCATCCACGGATATCCCCAACAGCACACACAACCCTCGACCTATTGAACTGACTTGCTCCTCTCCCACTGCAAGGAAACATGAAAGTTAGGTTGGTTTGTGTATCTAACAGGCACTATGCAAGAACAAGCACATCATCTCAAAAGGAACGACACCAGAACACCTTAAACTTGAACTGTTGTCACGAATGTCAAATGTCAACGGACTGGACAGAAATGTGATAAGCTGTCATTAAAAACTAGCCATTTATTTTGTTTTTATTTTTAAAAAACTATTCTTAAAAGAACATATCTGGTGGCATAGACTAGAGTGATGCCATTATTATGTGTTCAAATTTAATATCTGGTGCAAAAATACTTATACTGAATGCCCAAACACATACAATTTTTGAATGGGGGCTAATGCGAAACAAGCTAGCTCAGTGAGTTAGCGAGCATGCACGATCCGGATAAATAATGTTCTCTTATTACAGTTAGGGCATGGTGAATAATGTTAAAAATGGTATACATGACGACTCACCTGTCACAGAAGCCTTGGTGACCCTCTGAATTATGGCTTTCATTGTGGAGTTGTGTTGTGCTTGTGGAAAAGCACGCTGTCAAAACAACTTCCGTAAACGCGTGGAACCTTGTCGACCTCTAGCGGACATAAGGGGTAAGTGGGACAATGTGAACTGCAGTGATTCCAAGCCAAAGAAAGTGTTAAACATAATAGTTCGGGTACATCTCATTACTTCATAAAAGATATATAAGATATGTATCTAATATGTAAAAAAATATGTTACAACATAATATGCAAGAAAATATATTAAACAAAAACAGTTGCACAATTTAAGATTGGTTTTCTTCGTGTGTAAAAGGTGTAATGGTGGTTAAAACAGCAAGCTGATTTTGACTGATATCTAATGTAAACATATGGTGGAACATTCCAGGCAAAGCAATAACATTTCCATGGACACAGGTGGCAGACCCTCATCAGGTACACACTTAAAAGCTTTTATTTGTGTTATGATCTTATGAAACCAAAATATTATTGGGTGTATGGCGTATCACACTTTACTGAATATATCATCATTTGTGTAGCATAGTAGTGAATGCAACTTGTTTGAATCTGATTTTGTATAATGAATATGTAATTTAAATAATTATACACAAAGAGATGCTAGATGACACTCATAATGCACGCAAAACCTTCACGTCCATTAATTTCCTTTAGTCCATTTTTTCAGACAGCTATTTGCCATTGTCTCTGTCTCCAGGTGGAGCTCCACCAGTGAAGGACTCGATGAAGTTCATGATGCGCGTTGTGTAAGGCACAAAGTCTTTCTTATAAACTATGACAGTTTTAGAGTGAGCTGTGTTATAAGTCACTTCATTTGGATTCTCCATTTCTTCTGTTTTTGGGGGTTGTGTGAATTCTGCAACAAGAAACACAAAGCCAATTACACCGATAAATCTGTGAACAAACTGTGGTCAAATAACAAGATAGAAGTTACTTCAGCAGCAAAATATAGCCTACTGTACTCATGTACTCACTTCTATATTAAACTACATATGATTCAGTTTCTGTATCAGACTGACTGGCATTCAGCGATTGAAGTACCACTACTGAAAATATGACTGCCTCGATACCAATTGGTTCTCTCTGTATATTTTAAACAGAAGACCACACCTTTGTAAAGTAAAGGGGAAGTGCGTTTGGGCTGACCAGAAAACAAACAAGGCACTCTCTAATAGAATAATAAATATACATGTACCTCTGCCTACTGCCTACCCTTGAGCAAAACTATCAAGAAAGAAGACAAAGACAATGACAAAGGTAAAATTAAATATTATCATAAAACGTGCGAATCAGTCTTAGGTAAATGTTGAAGCACTAAACCAGTCCTTGTTTTTGTCTGTTTGCTGTGTTTCTTGCCCACCTGGTGTGTCAAATTTCCCCGTGTATTTGAAGTACAAGTATGACCCGACCATGGTCCACACTCCGAGCGCGTACACAGCGGACGCCCTGGTGTTCCACTGCATCACCTTCTTCGGCTCCATCTCCGCCTGTCTGCAGTTCAGTCCATTCACCTAAATAAAAATGATAAAGTCGGTGTTTTGGGGGGATAAATCTCAGGTAAATAACGCAGCAAGCGCATTCAGGACGCCGCCATGACAGTTGATCCGGAAGTACAGAGGCTACAAAATAAAACATCCGGTATAGCTTTAAATACAAGAGAGGGAAAATAAAAAGGCTTAATTGATACCCCTCTTACATGTTGTGGATTTACGGATGGTGACACTGAAAATTTAAAAGTAAAGATGGCTAATGGCTCCATAACAAGACCAGGTAAGCCTGACAGTGGTAGTTGACATGGGGGTGATCCATTTGGGTGATCCAAGAGTTTTCAAGAGTCTGGCTGCAGACCTCTACCAGGATGCACCTCCACCACATGTCCCTAATTTTTTCATTTGTTTGCTTTATAAACGACATCATTATAGCAGTTTATTATATCAGTTGTTTCCTTAGTTAATTGTCTGTTAAAGGTTTATAAAAGTCATAATCCAATCCAGAAAATCCACTTTATTTATATAGGCTTAGCACATTTCATAAACAAAACAGCTTCCAAAGTGCTGCACAATATAGAAAAAGAAATACATTGGGATTATAAAATAAAGCTCTATTTAACTCCATGAGTCCTCATTAAGGCAATAAAACTAGTCAAGTCAAATAAGAGCTAAAATACCAATAAATAAAAGAGTAAACCATAAAAAATTGCCTAAATAAATTAAATAAAAGATACAGAAGACCACACAATTCACATGAGAGTAAAAGTGGGTCTTAGAACTTAAATATTTAAAACTTAAAAAAACTCCACTGTGGGAGCTGTTTGGACATGAGCATAGAACCGACCACATAAAAGCTCACTCCAAATTTTTATAGGAAAGCACTTCAATCTAATCACAAATAGATTTCATTATTGTTTGAAATGAACTAGCTCTGAGGTGTCTGTGCCCTACAGTGGCCAGGAAACACTCCACTTTGATAGTCTTTTGGCATTGGCCACTCTTTGTGTGCTTTTAAAGGGAACTGTGGATGGAAGTAAGATAGGTGAGGGTCCTCTGGATGTCTGCGGGTTGGGTCCTCTGGGTGCAGGTCTAAGTTTTTTGATGGATGGGTGGGTGTATATAGACACCCGAAAAGAAAAACAAAATCTTTTTAAAAAATGACATTATTTGATTTGTAGCCTTTTTACAAACACATGATTTAATCATCTGTTGTTGTTTTTTTTTTGTGTGTGAAATCCTTCAGTTGTCCAGATAGGATCCATAGAAAATAAAATTCTGTCAACTGGACAAAAGTTTTTTGATCGAATACTTTAGTCCGGTTGACAGAACTGAATTTTCTCCTTTGCGATGACATGTGGTTGTTGAGATAATAAAAACTAGACATATATTAATATTGCCTAGTGCTTACATAAGAACAGACAAATTATTGCCAAGTCCTTAGAGCTCTCAGAGCCATTTTTTCATATTATTAAAACCCCTTTAAAATTCCTGACACTTCCATCACTCCTCCTTACACGATCTCTTTATTGTACAGATGTATAGGGTAGGCTGGTGTTTTGTTACAGCTGTGGGCTTGTGTTTCAGGTGCACATGAGTCAGATCTCAGTTATTAGCCCAGCGCTCGCTCAGAGAAAGGTCAAGACTGACAACTGATAAGCCTCCGAGCTACTTTTTCCTCTGAACAAAAACATGTTCAAATCTGTCAGTCTTTTCACATGCCATGATATCAGTTTTACACAGTTTTTTAAACATAACATTTCTATCTAATAGGTCATGAGTTTGCAGTCCTAAGCCAATCACAGCACACCAAACATAATGGTGAGCAGTAGGTAAGATTGGTATTGACATTCTGTTAAACAAATATTGCATTTAATGGAGTGTTAATAATAAGCAATAAAACAATGATATGATGATGTCTGATAAAACAATAATAGTTTAATTTTGCCACTCTCTCACGGGTGACCTCTCCACAGACTTGTCCTTTTAGTTTGGTCTGATGACATTACCTGTAAAGAAGTTACAGCCATACTGTAGGTAACAGTTAAATAATCTTGTGGCTGCTTTTTGGAGAAGACCATTAACACTTATTTTGGAATAAAATTCTGTCTGACTGACATTTGTCCCAGTATTAAGCTCATTAACTGTGACATATCATTGCTAAAAATACATTTGTAGAGCAAAGAAAATGGGATAATGGTGTAAGTGCCGGTATACAAAAAATAACTTTTATGTTGTTTTACCTTGTTTTACAGAGAGACAAAGACAGAGTTCGAGAAAATGGAAGAGAGAGAATGGTTATAATGGTTCCACACCAGGTGAGATAAATAGAAATACTATTTTCCATGAACAAATGATCAAATGTCAATTCATTATATTCAAATAAAAGCTTAAAAGTGTACTATATCTCTATGCAGACAAGCAAGTGGCATATTTACACTAGAGTCTGCTTACTATAAGACTGCATTTTAGCCATAAGAAAACCTGTAATTAAAGAAATGCTTGATGTTGTATTGTGGGACAGGCAAATGGTGTGAACCTTTAACCTTAAGCGCATTTGATTTAATGCATTTTTCATTCTCCAGTTTGTCAGCATATTTTGTATTGATTTTTAACTAACCTGAAATACTCAACTCAGAAAAATGTGCTTTGATAAATGCTTAGTGGGCACAGAGACGCTATGAGTCATGTAAAACCTTTTAAAACATTTCAGAAAGTTCATCATGATAGTGTGGAGCTGCTGTCCGAACAAGATGGAGAAGTGACTCATGCAAAAGTAATCTTTAATTAGAAATATATTATGACACTAATGTTTTTCAGGGACACAAGAGAATGAAGGACCTGCATATGGCACTAAAACTGTAGCCTGCAGCAGCTAAAATAAAGCATAATTTTATGTTTAGCCTCTGGACATCTCTTCCTGAACTAGACCAGCTTTAATGGGAATAATTAATCAATCATTTTTGTATGGCCCTTTACAACACTCAAAGACAGTGATTTAGAATAGCTAAGGATTTTTGTCTTTCAAAGTACAGATGCAAGTACTTAATGTGAAAGATTTGATAATAAAGTAATTTTTAAAAGTTATCACAAGCCATCTTTGTGCCAGCTGTTGTTCAAAAAGCATTTACAATATATTCTTTACCTGTTTGTATAAATGATAACCACTAAAAACACAGTATTTGTTTTACTGCTGTACTAGGTGAATATTTGCAATTTATTGTAACGTCACTACCTCATTTTGTCTTTATCATCTTGTGATGTTTGTTTTGCAGAAGCAGGTGTGTGAGAGATCTGTAACGCGCCAATGGAAAACAGTAGAAATGTTCCCGGCTCAGGTGAGGGCTCATTACCAAAATACACAGACTTAATTTGAGTAGTACTTTATTATTCTCTGCAAAGTAAAAGCATAGGTAAGCAAAATACATTCATGGAATAGACTGAGCAATGCGAGTGAAGTGTGCTGCTAAGGGACACACTGGCAGTGAATACATAACTGTACTGGAGCCCATTTTGCCTCTGTGGTACCTAATTTTAATACATGGTATAAAATGTTATTCAAAATAGTTACAGTCAGATAATATATTTAATTAATTTCAAAATAAATTGTCAATGTCTGTCATAAATTACTAAAGACACTAGAGCTTTTCATATGCTCTAACTTTATGCAGTAATATGTTTTATTCAGGATAACTCTCATAGCCTATTCAAGTGCCTGTTGCATCAACTGAACAAAATGATACAGAATCTTTGTTTATGTTATTTATTCAATATTTTATTATCGCAAACAAAACTATACAGTTGCTTAAACATGACGTTAGATTCACTTACACCTTAATAAATTTACATAGTTTTACATTGCATAGCTTTAGGTAGTGTTTTTAGAAGTTCAAGTTTACATTCCTCTGATTGTTCGTGAACTTATCTCTGACAAACCACAAACATGTCTGTAATTACCAAACAACAAACCATTAAATAAATAGGTGCCTGTCTATTATTATCACTGATATCACTGATAGTGAATTATCACTTTCATTATCACCACAACATTTGTGGTTTATTTCTGTTTTTGGGTGGGCCTGGACTGGGGGTATTTCTCATGCCCCCCTCCTGTACCTGTCACAGCCCTCTCTGTCGGGACACGCTGCAGGTCTGACTCACACTGAAGCAAATACTTAAGTGAGCTGAAGTCTGCAGCCACTGTCACTCATCTAAGCCTGTTCCTAAGGGAATACGGCACGAAGGATTATCTCTGCAAATGAACCAAAAGGTAAGAAAATGCATATATTTTTAGAAAGATGTTTATATTTAGTTTTATATTATTATGTGCACTGTAATCGGCCTAATAGTTATAGTTAGAACAAGTACTTCTAAAGTGTAAGGTAATACAAAAACAGAAGTGTAAATATGGTCTGATTGAGTATTTATACCTGCCTTTAGCTACTGTGCTAACTCATATTTATGTTGAAGCTGCTTGCTGACACATGTTCTCCTAATTCAAATAAATAAATAAGACATAAAAATATTGTGACGCAGGAGATGTGTAATGAGCCATAACAGATATTCTACACTTTTACTGTCTAGTCTGAAAGTCGACTCTCAGTCCAGGTAAAGTTACAAATAAGAATGTCATTGTACTGGGAAATACAAATCCTCATACTAAGAATATTTTTTGTAATTTACATATTTAATTTATTTACAATCAAAAAAGTTTTTTTTTTTGTAACTTTACATATACCAAAATACTGTGTAACACTAATGCATACATGTTTTATTGTTATGCAGAAATTCAGTAAGGGTCAGAAATTAAACATCTACCTTGGTTTAAAAGACAAAATTGTGCAAAGATGTGCTGACAGTGCAGAGCATTTGTGCTTTTGGGCCATGATAAGTCCTTGTGCTGCAGGCCACATCCTGCTGCTCGAGATTAATCAAACATTACAGACATCTCCGGTGAATCTGTGCTTTCAATGCACCTGTCCTAATCTTTCAGAAAAATACAGCCGCAGGTAACAAACTATGTGGAATTAATGTCTGTTCAAATGTCGGAGCTGGGTTAGGCTGCCTGTGATTTACGATTAATAAAAGACATGTTTTGACTAACCGTTCATACAGTGAAAAATGCATGAGAAGCTTTTGTACCTGTTGTTCGTGAGCTAATAGTGCATGCTAAATTGTGTTATAATTGTGTAATAAAGTGTTATTTAATACAATAACTGAGTAGTTATAAAACCAAATTTAGCAGTGGAAGTAAAATTGTAGTGAAATGCTAATTTGAGTATGTTTTAGACACATTGTGTGTACGTACAATAATGTAATTAAATACCACAGTTTAAAAATCTATATCATTTAGACTTACACACTGTACATTTCTAAAAATGTCAAGCCGTTATACAAATAATAATAATAAATTTACTATAACAACTATCTCTTTATAATATATATTTAAATTTAACATGCAATATTTAAATTAAAACACATATTTAATTAGGGTCTATAATTTCAGTAAGCAATAGTTTTGAGTGTAGTTGGGTCTTGACTGGTTCATCATCAGTCCACCTTTGTCTCCTGTGCATTCTAACTCTTCAAATAGGGCTTCTTGTAAATGTATCTTATTGGAAGCCCTGTTAGTTCTCCTGTGACACTGTTGGTGCTGCTGTACAGTTTTGCTCTTTACAATATGGACTGCACATTCTTGTTCTGTAGGGGGATACGCCTTTTCGACACAGCTGCAGGGGAGTCCTTTAAATCAATGGGACTTCTAAAGACCTAGAGACACAGGGCTGAAAGAAAAGAAATATGATCACAGAAAACGAAAAAATAAATGTATTCAGGGTTTGTTTGCCTTGAGGTTAAGTGATTTTTCACTACAGAGGAAAGAAAATGTACCTTCACTGGACTCCTCTGTATTTCAGACTACACCAGCCTGAATGCATTTGTTGCTTTTGTGTCACAGGTGGAGTGAATGGACAATACAGTCATCACCAAGACGGTCAGCTCCAGTGGAGGAGGAGGGGGAGGGACCAAAGGTAAATGGCTAACTCTATAGAATATAGAATTAAAGGTGGACTACGTAACTTTTCTGGAAGAGGGCAAGTGGCGTTGCTTTCTCCACGGTAATGCTACTTTGCCTAGAATGTTCTGCAGTATGGCATTCAGCACATCTATCTTTGTTAAAAACCAAGCCACCAGGTCAAGCTACAGGACACATCTGTTGAGAGGCAAGCCTGCTCATACTGAAAACAATTTTTTAGGATATTTTTGTAGCAAAAACACATGCAATTGAATAAAATAGGCTTAATGCCATACTGCGGAATATGCTAAGCAAAGGAGTAACATTTCCGTGAAGACAAGCAGTTGTTGGATCCCCTACCAGAAAAGTTACATAATGCACCTTTAAGTTGTATTTATGTTCTATTACAAAGCTATTAATATATTTAATAATTAATATAAATCTTATTTTTTGCAGTGGTCAAAACAACCAAAGTGGTAACACAGAGTAAGTTACATTTTACATAATACATAGATAAATACTGTATAACTGTATGATCAAAACCGATTTGAATTTGTTTGACTGACAGCCTATATTTCATACTGTACTACCTTTAATGCTTAAAGTGTCCCTAAATGAGTTTGAAACCTGCACTATAGTTTTACTGTCACTGTCTGTAAATAACAAACACCTTGGCACATATATGATCTGTATGTACCCCATAAAACTGCATTGTTTGAGTAAATCTTTGCCTGTACACGCATCATGAAGCGTTGCTCAAATTATGATAGCTGATAGCTGCTCATATGTATGTACCCTGTAATTATTTCTTCTTGTCTAATAAACCCTACAGGTCCCTATACAGACAAAAATATATTGAACTATTAAACATGTTGAGGCAGGGGCTGTACTTGGGAATGTACAAAAATGGGTGTGCATAAGTCAAATACCAGTGTGGTCTTGTAGTAAAAATGTGATTTGAGGCAATATAAAAGCAATAGAGTTGTGCTACCTGTTGAGATATCTCAGATTTCTGCTTTGACAATAATTCATAAATAATAATTAATAATATTTTGACAATACATAATTAATTATGAATGATTAAGCTTGTTATCAGCAGCAGTGGTTCTCAACTGTGGACATGTTCCACTGGCAGTACATGGGCAGGTGTCAGGGGCCTCACTTTTTTTGTCCTTTAGTTTAGTCTTAATTTGAACCTTGTCCAAAACTGTTAAAAGCTCCTCTCGGGACAGGTGCTTTGAGAAGATCTATGTGCTATGCTATCCCTCGCTCTAAATGATAAAAAATTGTATAGATTTTGCCCTTGCTGTCTTTAGTCCCTTACAGTCCTGTTCGATTCAAGGTCAATGTTGGTTGTTGTAAATTTGAGATATCCTGCTCTGTAGTTGCGAGTGACTGTGTCTCTCTCTTCTTTAGGTGAGTTCTCATCTGGGTCTGGAGCTTCTGGAGCTTCCAGGGCTCTCCTGTCCGGAGATTCTAGCAGCAGCACCAGCTCTGTCCTGCTCACATCCTCCTCTACCAGCAGCAGCAGTGGCTCAGCAGGGGCAGCAGGGGGCGCCAGTGCAGGAGTGCTCTCCATCTCCTCGGGGGGCGGGGCTTCGTTTGCTTCAGGGGGCGGGGCTTCAGCAGGTGTACGGGCTGCAGGGGGATCGTCCTATGCATCCTCCGGGTTTGTGAGCAGCAGCAGCAGCAGCAATGGAGGGGGGGCAGGGTCCTCGGTCACCAAGAGCTACAGCTCTGGAGTTGAGACCAAGAAACTGTCCACAGGGGGCACAATGTCCACTGGGGGTGCACTGTCCAGTGGAGGCACACTGTCCACTGGGGGTGCATTGTCCACTGGGGGCGCTCTGTCCTCTGGGGGCTCGTACTCTGCTTCAGCCATAGAGAGCAAGAGCACTCTGACCGCCACTGTGTCGGACGTGTTCGATGGTTAGTAACACGTTAGAAGAGGTGATTCACTATTAAACCTGAATATTCATCTGTGTCCACACAATACAGTCAATCTGGCATGGCCAAAAGTACATAATGCAATGCTCTGTGGTATATGTAATATATTGGATTCTCAGATATAATAACAGATATATCAAATCTTATGATAATGTGAAAGTACATTATGTTGTATCCATGCATTCACTGTATCATACTGCATCTATACTCTCAAATCTGATACTCTGTGTTACATGGAACATAATGTACAGTTATCATGGTCTCATCAATATATTTCATATGTCAAATATCCTTATTCTGTTTCCATATATGATACCAATTGACCTTGTTTCATTAACATGTTTTTTACTTGTCTTAAACTAGTGTTTTGCTGTTCTCAGATTACTCTACATTGTGTATGATTGATTAATCACAACAAAGGATTAGTTTGCCTCATATAAAAAAATGAATGCCATAATTTTCACCTCATCGTTCATGTATTTTAAAGTACTAGACACTACTAGACTGTTTTGAGGTTAAAAAAATACATATATTTGTCCTATTTTGTTACAGAGAGTTCAAGCACCAATTCCTCCCCTGAGTACAACAGGAAAGACTACAGTAAGTGTAAACACATATGACAGCCTATACTCTTATGATTCTCTTTCTAACTAATTACTTTATTTCAGACATGACCAGTACAACCACGACTATGGCCACTAGAGGGCGGTCACAGAGCCGAGGTACAAGAAAATAATGCAAAATCTTTTGAAATATTTAAATTTTTATTTTATATATTTAGTAAAAACTTTAAATTTGTCTTAATTTGATCACATCTGCTTTTTTAGAGAGTGAAATCAGGACAAGGCTTCAGAGTTCTTCTCCACCTGGAACATGTGAGCCCACCTTACTATTTGTAAATCGAAAAGTTATAAGACAAGATCTGTCATTGTAATTATAATTTTAAATCAGTTTTATTACAAACCACCATGTTATTAAAACATTTTGCCAAATTAAATAAAGGTTAAACTAAATAAAAATACACCTTGACTTTTTGCTTTTTTAGTATGATGCTGTTGTGATTGCAGGGACTGAGTTGGACGATGTGAAGCGTTTGCTAAGAGGAAACCGCTCAACCAGCATTAGCCCCCCTCGCTCCCCCAACAACACGCTCCCCATCCCCAAGAAGGCCAGTGTGGAGACCAGGACCCTGTCTGAGAGCTCCGGCGGAGGTCTGTGTGCTCAATACTTATCAGTTAGTGCTGGGGGTACATCACTATCATGGCTCCATAAAAGCTTTATTGCTTTGCCTGAAATGTTCAACAGAATGACATAAAACTTATCCAACATTTTTACTATGAGTGCGGTTGCCTCTCCACAGATCTGACTTCATAATTGGCCTGGTGGTGTCATCTGCTTGTCTTTATGGAGAAACTTAACTTTAATGCACCATGTATAACATGCACCAAGTGGCTATATTGGGCAATTCATGCAACCAACCAAAAAGATACTCCAACTAGTAATTTGCTTCCTTTTCCTTAAGTGATTTTGAATAAAGTGGAGGGTCTGACACTACATTACATGCTCAGATTTTTTTTTTAGTTTATTTATGAAATGAATAAGTCATAATGTTTCATCTTTTGTGTCCATGTAGATCAGTATGGCAGCATATGGACTGGCACAGCGGGTGGAAGCTATGGCTACAATGCTAACCTCACCAACAACAACCTGTCGGCTACTTCCACCATGTACCAGTCAGGTATACTAAACAAAAGTATACCAAATACTGAGTCTCTTTAGAAACATGAAAGTGGTCCCTAACAGTGGATTATATGCAAAGAAAATCATATTAATATCATATATTATAATTAGCTTAGTCTACACAGAAAAGACTGACGTATGATCACAAAATGTCACTTTGTTATTGGCAGCAGTAGCTCAGTTGGTAGAGTGTTTCAAAAAACATCATTGGTTGGGCGGGCAGATCCACTGACCCACAGGTTGGTGGTGTGATTCCAGCTCCCACAGATAAATGTTGTTGTTGTGTCCCTGGGCAAGACACTTAACCCACCTTTCCCCTAGTGTCTGCATACACTGGGGTATGAATGTATGTGTGAATGTGAGTGATTCATTGTTGTAAAGCGCTTTGCGTGCCTTGAAGGTGGAAAAGCGCTATATAAAATGTTTCCATTGAGTGTTATCTGTGTTTTGATCATTTTGACATCCTGTATTATTTGGAATTATGCTATGCTACAGATAGTCTTATTCAAATATAATTCTTTGGTAGGGGTTCAGAACAACATGGCGATTGGAGCACCCTCTGCTGGAGGTGGACTGTCACTGAGCAGCACGGGTGAGTTCACACTGACTCTCTCTCTCTGTGCCCAGAGGCCTGCCGCCTGCAACCTGCCCTTGCTCGTTGACATCAACCAGTCAGCATTCAGCCAACAGTTTTAAACTGTACCCTCACTTCTTCAGTCACCTGTTCAATTCTCGCAACCCTTCTCCACCACAGCACCACCTTCGAATTTCTCATATTTTACTTTTTCAATCCTTTTTATGTCAACCTTCAGCCCACTGTTGGGTCTAAATGCCAGATGCATGCTACTATCTTCCTTATGCATTCATTTGCCACACAATGTAACATTTGACCATTGGGTGGCAGTAGCTCAGTTGGTAGAGCATTCGCCCACTGATCTGAAGGTTGACGGTTTGAATCCAGCTCTCAACATAAACATCACAGGTTGAGCGGTCAGATATACTGACCCACAGGTTGGCTGGTGTGATTCCAGCTCCCACAGATGAATGCTGCTGTTGTGTCCTTGGGCAAGACACTTAACCCACCTTGCCCACAGTGTCTGTGTGAATGTGTGTATGAATGGGTGAGTGGTTTCTTGTTGTAAAGCGCTTTGAGTGCCTTGAAGGTGGAAAAGCGCTATAGAAAAATGTGACCATTTACAAGAAATGTTCTCCTGTAAAGACAAAATAAATTAATGCTCCACATATTTAGTGATGTTTATGTTTTTTTTCTCATCAGTACCCATCTATGGAGTTCAAAATAATCTGGCTGGTACGGGTCCGCTGCTGTCTCCCACTGCCACTGGACCAATAGGTAAAAGAAAAGGCAGCTACCATAGGCCAAATGCAAATAAGTGTATGCCAAGGATTTAGAGGTATATGCTATTTTACATTGTGACTTTTCAATATGTGAATTCAAAGAAAAGTAAGACATTTAAATACATTAAAAAAGCTCTTTGGCAATTAAAACTTTGAACATTAAATAGTTACTATACATCCTCTATTCCTTTTTACAGTTTATGGTGTTCAGAAGAATGTATCAAGTAGTGGCCTGAGTCCAACTACAGGTTACTATTCAAACATTGATTACAACAATGATAAAATATGTATCTCATCTATTTATTATGTTTGTCCTTGCAGTGAGACCCGGCAGTCCCATTAAAGATGAATCAACCACCAGAGATTTTAAGTTTGTGTTTGTGGAGAAAGAAAACGCTCCAGTGAAGAAAGAGACAGAGGGGCTGATCATGGCCAAAGACACAGGAAAGAGTTTTATGTCCTCTGGTCCTTCAAGTCTCACTGGTATTTACCTTCAGCAAACAATGTATTTCAATATATACTGTAGATAACACTGCCTGCCTATTTAAATATTTATATTTATATTTAGAAGGCTATTCTGAGGATTCACTGAAGAGGGAGAAACAGAAGTTGTCCACAAGCACAATGGAGGAAGGAACGGACACAAAATGTACTGATGTTTATTGGCAGTGTAAAAGCAAAACTATAGTGAATATTAAATTAAATGTATTTTGATATTTGCAGCTGGAAGCCTCAAGACGTCAACAAAAGATAAAGCTACTTATGCAGGTAATATTAAAGATATAATGGCAACGGGTACAGAAAATAGAATCTGAATTGAAAAAATTAATTCATTATAATATTTAATCTGTTTCTGCAGAGATCCGTAAAGAAGACGCTGCCCTTGCATTCTGCTCATGTTGTAGTTGGTGGAAGTGGTTGCTGGGTCTGCTGCTGTGTCTGCTGTTCCTTCTTGGACTTCTGTTTGGACTCATTGCATTAGGTGGGTTAGGACAGTTAAACATTTAGGTTACTAGAAACAACTATTATTATGATTTTGTCTGAATACTTATTAAGGCTGCAATTTATGGACAAAGAAACAAAATTCATTGTGAGTTATTTTGCATGCAAGTAAGTACAAAACATCAGCCTGGTCAATAGAGCAAGGGATGAGTATTGGCGGCAGTGGCTCAAGCAGTTAGAGCGCTTGTTGGCAGTTCAATGCCTGCATACTATTTTTGTGTCCTTGGGCAAGGTATTTAACCTATTTTGCCTATTAGAGAGCTACAATGTAAATAAAAAATAGGACATGAATGCATTCTAAATCCACTCTAATTAAATGTATTGAAAGGCACGCCAAATGCAAGTTAAATTGTTATGGTTACAATGTACACCTTGTTAAATTGTACAAACCTCTGACAGGTGAAGAGGTCAAACGCCTTAAAGAGCGTGTTGACACTCTAGAGGCCATCACTGGTAGTGCATCCTCTGCCCGCACCAGCCGCCTTTCCTCCTCTGGAATAAACATCATCGACCCTCTGGACACAGCCTACATTGACAGGAGCTCTGCAGGAAACACTCTGACCCGATCTGACCCCAACAGCATTAACGTAAACCTGGGGTCAGCCGGGGCAGGTGCAGGGACAGGAGCCATGGCAGGTGCAGGTGCAGGACATGACAGCTTCGCCCTCCAACGGACCGTACAGCAGCTGATCAGGGCTGAACTCCGATCAGACATAGTGAGAGGTAAAACAATCTGAAAAATACTATTGGATTTTATTTACTACTCAACAAATTTCACTATCACTCTTTGTAAAACATGTAAAAATGTTAATTAAAATCAAAACTTCTTTTTGCTATTTGTAGAATCACTAAGAGGGGCAAAGGGAGATCCTGGTCCCAGAGGTGTGTTGTTGTACATTTACCTTTAGTCCAAGTTTCAAGTTAATCAACTGACTGTAATGTTGTTTTCAGGTGAGACAGGAGCTATGGGACATAAAGGTAAGATATATACAATGGTTGTTGTTGTTTTGAATTTTGATAGAAACCAAAATACTTCATCATCTCTATGTGTGTATTTTCAGGTGAAAATGGCTTCCCAGGTCTACCGGGTAAGGCCCTAAAGATAAACATGTTAAAGATATAAGTGACTGATTTTGTTTTTATTTATAACTGTTTTCTGTCAGGACCTCCAGGGCAGATGGGCCACTCTGGACTGGAGGGACCACGAGGAGCAAAGGGCAGTGAAGGTGAGGTCATCTCTGGTACAGTGAAATCCCATTTGTAGATAAGTGCATGGACTCTACTGATACCTGTATGTGTCTTATATGTGATTGCATTTCCACCTTAAGTCATCAGATGAATTATGAAATGTTTGTTTACTCTGTTTATGAGGACAATACAATTTACTTTATGGGGACAAAACGATTTAGCTGTTTTTGTATTAAGGTGAACCTGGGCCAGAGGGGCCTCCAGGACAGAGGGGCCGAGAGGGTCCGATGGGCCCCAGAGGAGAGACTGGTCCTCCTGGGTTTGGAGAGAAAGGAGAAAAAGGTGCAATGTTTGTAGATTGAAATGTGTTATAAACAAAGCAATTACAAACCATAAAGAGACTTGTGTTTGACAGGATCCGCAGGAGAGCCTGGTCGTCCTGGTGCTGTCGGAAGTCCTGGGCCTGTGGGACCCAAAGGTGGGGTCAACATATGTTTCCTTTCTATATATTTATCCAGTTTGTTTCAGTTACACCTGTATCACTGACTGCTGCGTAATGTTGCTGAATTTAGGATCAATGGGAGAGCAAGGAGCTCCAGGAAGCCCAGGTAAATTTGCACATTTTAGTATAAGTTTAGTAAAACACACATTGTCATGGAAACTGATCTGGTTTTGATGCAGGTGCCCCAGGTGTGAAGGGTTTTGCCGGTGAAGCAGGTGCTCCAGGAGCCAAAGGTATAACAGACTCTACAACATAATAAAGAGAATAATTTATAATAGTAATTATTTCAATTGTTTTATGATAAAGGTGATCGGGGAACTCCTGGGGCTCCAGGAACCAAAGGAGACCAAGGAGAAAGGGGTCCACGTGGACCAGCAGGTGTGTCCCAAAAAGTGTCAGGTTTTCTTTTTGCAAATCACTATATTCGACAAAGTTTTTATTATTTGCTCTGTATCATTTTGACACAAATCACTATTCTGTTTTATTTTTTGCTGTTCTGGTTTATTCAGGTGAACCAGGGCAGCCAGGAACCCCTGGTCCAGCTGGGCCAAAGGGAACCAAAGGAGTTGGAGGTAAAACAACATGATTGGCCTTGTTCTTACAGTTCTTAAAATGAGACACAACTGTTTCAATCATTGCTCTTAATAGGTGAGCCAGGCTCCATGGGACTGCCTGGTGCAAGGGGACCACCTGGACTTCCTGGAGATATTGGACCTCCAGGTGCCACACTCTACCAACATATATTATGCTGTGTGATATTAAGGATAAATGTGATATGAGATGAACTATGTGGAACTTTATCAACCTTCCTAATGATCTTTTTCTGTTTTAGGAATTACAGGCATTCAAGGTCCACCAGGTAACATTGAAATCAAAATGCATGTGTCACTTCTTAAATTATATTTTGTAATCTTTTACAACTGCTGCTGGATTTCACAGGTGTTGCTGGTATTCCTGGTCAACCTGGAGCTAAAGGTAATAGTGATTATCTATGTCATAGACCAGTGTTTTTCAACCTTTTTTGAGCCACGGCACGTTTTTACATTGGAAAAATGTTGCGACACACCACTAACCAAAATGTTACAAAAATGACACTATACAGTTTATTTAATTACAATATAATTTCTACATTAATTTCTACTTACTCAGTGTGAGACCTGTGCCTGTTTAGATGAACACAAAGCTGATATCCTGGCAGGAATAGAAGAAAGACACACACAAAGCTCTTCATCAACAGCTCTCAGTCTCTCTCTGTTTTTAGTTTTTATAGCAGTTAAGCTTGAAAAGCTCTTCTTCTGGGTCAGAATCTTGTCCGGGGCCCAGTTCGGAGTTTGCATTCATCCATTTTAAAAACTTTTCCATGACTGTCACCATGCACATTACTAATTCTTTTAAAGCAGGGGTGCTCACACTTTTTCAGCATGCGATCTACTTACAAAATGACCAAGTCATACAGATCTACCTAATACAAAGCCAAGCAAACTGCACTGAAACACTCTGTGCCCCTTTTTTGGACCCTCACCCACAGTTTGAGAACCCCTTCTTTAAGAGAACTTCCTGTGGCACTTTACACAAAACTGTGAAAAAAGTGAAGGAAGATTTTTAAACCTGTTTTTTAAAGTTCCAAACTGGAGTTGCATTCTTTTCTGGTTTTGCAGTGATATTTACCAGCCTCTGTTACCAAACCAAACGCACATCGTGACAAACACAGATGCATTTGTGCACTTTTGTTAGGCAAATTTCAGCCAAATGTGGCAGTAGGTCTGTTCTGTAGATCTGCTCTATGCTGTAGACCTGCTTTGTGCCAACACTGGAACACAAATTCAGACTCGTTTTTGCTCCACGTTTCGTGTTGCTCTTCTAATCAGTGCGCACTGTGGAAGGGGCTTGTGTTCGCTGTACGCAGGAAGGTGAGAGCGTGAAAAGGCGAGGGGCGGCGTGCTGACGTGAGGCAGATGGACAGGTAGGATGTTTAGGAAGTTTAATCTGCCCTGTGATGCACGCTGCGACACGAGGGCACACGCTGTTGCAGACGAGCCGTGCGCAGGGAGCGTGTGTGTTTGTGATGTGCCGTAGAGTCTCCGCGGGCGGCACTGAGACGCCCCACACGCTCTGGCACACCTGTACAAGTTTATTACCAACAGCAGCGGCCGTAATGAAATATGATCGCACTTGTTGAGTGTCAGACCTTGAGTGACAGACAAGACCGAGTCCAAACGCGAGTCCGAGACGAGACACGGCGATCTACCCACACGACCTTGGCGATCGACTGGTAGATCGCGATCGACGTATTGAGCACCTCTGATTTAAAGGAACGAGGCAATTAGCTGCCTGTCGCCACCCGAACGAATATTAGATCACTCTGCCAGTCATTATATACTACACTGTACTACAGCACGGACACTCGACAATGACATAATATTTGCAGGTAATAATTAATAAATTTTTATTTAAAAAAAGTGATATTGGATAATTTCTCACGGCACACCTGACGATCTCTCACGGCACACTAGTTGAGAATCACTGTCATAGACTGATAAAACTGCAGCGTATAGAGTGTTCTAAAATCAAATGAAAATCTTTGCTATTGCAGGAGAACCTGGTTCACCTGGGAAAGTTATCACTACCGCAGGTGAGAATACCGCTAGAGCTATCCTTAATGTCACTCTCATTCAATTTCTCTGTTAACACAAAGCACTTGTGTTTCTGTAGCCGGCTCTGAGACTGTGGCGATCCCTGGCCCCCCCGGCCCTGCTGGGCCTGCTGGTCCCGCTGGGGCCCCAGGTCTGTCAGGTCCCACCGGTCCAGCTGGAGCCCCTGGCGCTCCTGGTAAATACTGTCTGAAGTGACAAGGGTAGAGCAACAGGCAACAAGACTGAATATCATGTATATGTTTTCATCTAGGTGCCAAAGGAGAGCCTGGAGAGAAAGGGGAACCGGGCGAGAAGGGAGAGAAGGGAGAGAAGGGAGAAAAAGGTGAAAAAGGAGAACAAGGAGAAAAAGGAGAGAAGGGAGAGAAAGGAGAGAGTGGAGAGCCCAGTGCCAGCACCAGCACCAGCTCAGAGTCTGACAGTGCCACAGAAAACAGCAGTGAGTCTCTTACACGAACTTCTCCACGAACAAGTAAATGTTTCTATGTTTGACTTGCATTTTATTTACAGACCTTGGCTCTGCTGCTGGGCCTCCAGGGCCACCTGGTCCTCCTGGACCACCAGGACCACCCGGAGAAGTTGGACCACAGGGTCCACCTGGTACGAACTAATGTATTGATTATAAGTGAGGCTATATGTTGTACTCTGTTCATTTTCTGTATTTAAGTTGACTGTATCATGGTTTCAGGTGAAGGTAAACCTGGTCCTCCAGGACGCAAAGGTCCTCCAGGCCCTCCTGGTAGGGAACAGGTTCAAAGTGACAAAAGTCACAGCACAATATAATAGGACCATATACCAACAGCTGACGTATGTCTCTCACTTCAGGTATCGGCACACCTGGACCTAAAGGTGACCAAGGAGAACCTGGCAGCTTTGTGCCTACGTCAGGTGAAAAATACAGAATGGATTTGTGGTGCAGAAAAATTATTTAGTATATATGTATCTTTATGGCTATGCCCTTGTTTTTGCAGAGACTTTCTTTGCAGGACCACCAGGACCCCCAGGGCCACCAGGGCCCCCAGGCTCAGAGGGCCCAGTAGGTAAAAGACTACATTTCTATTTCTGTACTCAACGTCTTGTGCTCTCAAAAGATAATAACAAATAATCTTATTTGTAGGTGAACCAGGGTCCCAAGGTGAGTTTTTTTCTACTGATGTAACTGATTGAAAATAAATTTGTTAATTTTGTGTTTTAACTATTACATTTGTATTTATTATTCCAGGAGAACCAGGTCAACCAGGACTTCCTGGAAGTCCTGGAGAACAAGGAGAACCAGGACACGGTTTGTAAACAGACTTTTAGAGGGTTTTTTTTCAGTCTCTTTGATGATAAACTCTTAATTTGCCACTTAGATAGCAAACATGTAGTTCGTGTTGACACAGCCTTATATCAGTTTTCAAGCCTTAGCTCTTATATCAAAATTACAACATTTTTTGCAGAAAACACAATGATCAACTTTTTAAATGCAGTTTGCAGTTTGCAACTCTCTCTGCACGTGCTATAGCCTGTGTACATAAATACTGCATGTCTTCCTCAAGTCCATACACTGAAGAAGGCACAAAGGACAAACAGAACACACAAAAATCACAGTATGAATAGAATTTATAGACAGACCATGAGACAGACACAGAAGCTCTAGAAGTCACAACTTCTTCTTATGACTTCTGTACTGAAAAGTTTGGTTTTTCTCTTCTAATTGATTGTGTAATATTTGACACAGAATTACAGCATTTTCCCCACTCTCAAACCACCAGAAACAGTGTGATACTGGTCCTACAAGTCTACAGCTCCCTCACACTACACATCTAAAATTGTTGTAGCTGTGTGTCTGGATGATGGTTAGATAAATGTAAATAAGGTTCATTATGAATTAGGGCTTGTTTCATCAAGAGATCATCTATTGATGAAATCAGCATTATTAAAATGGATTATACTTATTGTACTTTTCAGGTTTCCCAGGTCAGCCTGGATCACCCGGGCCCCAAGGACCAGAGGGCCCTCCTGGACCACCAGGTGAAGATTTGCTTACAATAGAAAACAGTGACCACATGTGTGCGTGTGTTCTGTTTTAGCTTTTATTAAAATTGAACGAAACACTAAATATTATAGTGTAGCCAGTAATGACATACATACCACCTCACAACAAGAACACAATAAGAACCATATTAATATAAAGTATAAAAAATAACTGTCACAGTAAGCCTTGACATACCATATTTGTGTCTATGGCAGCTCCTGAACCCCCACCGGGAGCTCCAGGTGCCCCCGGCCCCCCCGGGCCCCCTGGTCCTCCAGGACAAGATGGCAGTGACTCTGCAGATGTGAGCCAGGCTGTTGCAGAGTTACTACAGAGTAGGTTATTTATTTCTGAGAACCACAAATACAATACTGATCTGATTTGTTAAATCCATGGCTCATATTTATGTGCAGGTGATGGTATAAGGCAGTACCTGTCTGGTCCCCCAGGACCCCCAGGTCCTCCTGGAGCACCATCTGTCAGCTATGGACAAGGTATAGAGGATTATTACTATTGCCTGACTTGGTTTTCACATATAGTCTTTGCACTAAAGTAACATTTTTGCTGTTAGGTGCAGGTATTCCAGGCCCACCAGGTCCACCTGGAGCTCCAGGAGCCCCAGGTGTCCCAGGTGTCCCGGGCTCTCCAGGAGATGGGCAGATGGAAGACATAACCAACAGAATCCTCAGCTACATTCAAAGTAACAGGACATGGGTCTTACAGCGTACTCGGTTTAAATGTATGGATTATTATCTAAATATATAATTTATATTCTTAGGTCAAAGATATGACAGTGGTTCTGGGGCCCCTGGCCCCCCTGGACCCCCCGGACCTCCAGGAGCAGTCTCTCTTAATGACGTCATTGCTATCATGCAAAGTATGTGAATTAATACTTTCAGTCATTTTCGAAATAAACATTTTGTGATATTTTTTATATTATTATTGTATATTATCTGTACAGGAGATGATGTGAGGAGATACATTGCAGGTCCTCCTGGCCCACCAGGCGCTCCCGGGGCTCCTGGAGGTGGAGATTACTCTTTTAACACAGCCGAGCTTGCAGAGAGAGTTCTTGCTCTTATAAACGGTGAGTGCTGTGCTTTGTAATACCTGGTTTCAAACCAAATTGACCCTAACTGATGTGGTTCATCTTCAGAACACGGGCTGGCAGGTGTCCCGGGACCTCCAGGACCCCCCGGAGTTCCTGGGCTTCCTGGAAGCTTTAATGGTAAAACACAGTCTATTTAGGTTAACTCCCGACTTCATCTGTGTAAGTGACATGATGCATCTTTATATGTAAGCTCTTGTAGGCCCACAAGGACCTCCTGGAATCCCAGGATCTCCAGGACCAGTGGGACCCCCTGGACCCATAGGACCACCTGGAGCTCCAGGACAGGCCAACTACATCAACAGTGACATCCGTGACTACCTGCAGAGTCAGTCATATTCTTCTGTTTGTTCTCGCAGAGTGTTTAAGAGTGCTTATCATCACAGTATGTTTACAGGTGTTGCCTTCAGGGGTCCTAGAGGCCCCCCCGGCCCCCCTGGACCCCCAGGACCAGTGGGACCTCCCGGGCCTTATAGTGGACTGATTTCATACGCGGAGCATGCAAACAGAGATGGCCCCAGAGCTGAACTGCAGGACTTCAAAAAGAGTAGGTCTATTGACTAATGAAGGAATAATCTGCTCACAAAAATATACTTCAGCACAACACAATGAAAGAGTTTAGTTAAGATAAACTGTATGTCCAGATATTATTTCTACATTTTGATTGGTTAACTGTCCATAGCAGTTGACAGTTCGGGAGTACCTATGTTCGGGCTCCCTGGTCTGCCTGGACCACCAGGACCGCCGGGAAACAAAGGAGAGCCAGGCGATAGCGGTGACTATGCCAGTATGGCCCTCAGAGTGACAGATTACATTAAAAGTAAGCACCACATTATAATCCTTTGTGAGGCTAGTACTTAGCCTTAGCCTGTGTGTAACAGAGTTTTGTTCCTTCACTTCAGCCCATCGACTTCTGCAGGATGCCGGTTCACAACCTGTGGTCCAAGGACCCCCAGGACCCCCTGGTCCTCCAGGTCCCTCTGGATACACCAGATGGTTAACGTCACATTCAAATGCCACAGAACTTGTGGATTATATGAAATGTAAGATTCAAAATAATAACTATCATGCTAAGATGTGCACATGGCTGAAGCTGTGCTCTCTTGCAGCTCATGGAGTTTTCAGGGATGTGTTAAATGAGCACAACAGTCGCTTCCATAAAGGCCCCCCGGGGCCCCCAGGCCCCCCCGGACCCCCGGGCCACAGCCACGTGTTCGGTTCTGACTCAAACGTTACAGATTTAGTGGAGTACATCAAAGGTACATTCATTTAAATGTTTGTCCTGTTGGTAGATGAAAAGTATAAAGCAGTTAAATATGTTCCTCACAGTGTATGGGGCCATTGTGGGGAGACCAGGACCCAAAGGAGATATGGGGATCCCGGGACCAAAGGGAGAAAGAGGTACTAGAAATAAAAAGTTCATACCGTATTAATCTAAAACAGTGGTTATAGCACTTAATGTTTATTTTGTTTCATAACAGGTGATCCAGGACCTCCTGGGCCTGAGGGACCCAGAGGTCAAAAAGGTAAGCCTTACACTGGACAGCAATATTGAAGTTACTCTGGGTGATGACATAGTTGGTGATTTATATTTTTCAGGAGAGTATTCACTCGCAATCAAACGAAAGAGGCGGAGTCTCAGAGGAGTTTAAAATGTTTAAATACATGTACAGTTGTTTTGTAAGATTTAAGGATTTATTTTGTTTTGTGTACTTTTAAAGCATTGTAAATGTTTTTTGTATTTTTACATAGGGGGGTTCATTGTGACTTCAGGGATGTTTTAACTTAAAAAAGGGTATATTTTTGTAGCACTTAATTTGAATGTTTATTTGTATGTTCATTGTAGAAAAAGGTTCTATTGAAACAAGTGGAATAGAAGAAAATGTTTATTTACATCCAAATGACAAAATTATCTAACTAATACAATTCTTCTAAATCTATACATTTTAATAATGATTTTAAATGCATTTTGGGCATTCTTTTTTACTCAATCAGCATAGCAATAATTGATCAGAAGCTGCTAAAACGTACAGTAAAATAAGCTACAGCACAGGCGCTGGAGTGGATCACTTCATTTAAATACTACCAACAGTATCACTTTGAAAATGTGCACAGCACTGCTTCATATAACAGACTTTTGTACAAAACAAATGTGAAATGGAGGGAGGGACTGAGACATGTGAACATGGCCTAAACCAGTCAGGTCCATGGTTTTCAATGTGACTTTACATCGTTTCATGAATCCAAATAAAAAATACTTTCAGAAAATGTAATAGTAATTCTGTCAATACAGTTAAAGTATATTGTATTTTGTGCTTCATTATCCCAGTAAACAAAGTTTTTTTATGGCAGGTCCACCCACAGAGCACAGTAATCCAAAAAGTCATTTAAAGGCTCTTAACTAAAACATGCCAAAAGTAAAACAAACAGTTGACAGAGCCACACAGGCATAGCTCATTTATGAACTGAACAAAACTGAAAAGGCATCTGAAATTGGAAAAAAATGTACTGCGTATATTTAGTGCAGTATTTTGGAACATTTCATCCTGTCATCCCTGACTAACAAACAGTTACACGGTCATAATAAGATTTAATACAAGAGTGTGCACTCCTACACGATTAACTATTGTTCAAATGCTGTGGCAGTATTTGTTTTGGCTCTGCAGTGATTTCCTTTGTGTCCAATTAACAGGGATCCTTTTGTCTCTTAATGTAAACACTTTATAAACGTCACACACTTCACGTGTTTAGCAAATATAGTGATGAGAACAACAACTCCAATTCAAAAATGTGATACAGCAAGAAAAAAAAAAACTTAACACAATGTCAGGTTGTAACACGTTGACATGGAAAATATGGTTCTTTGAATATCAATTTAAATTTAATATAAGATACAGCCTCTATTCCTAAGAGATTGCCGAAATATTTGATGAAAATAATCTGCTGTGAGGCTGGTCCTGGAATAATATGCTACCAGTGCATACAGCACAATTCATTTGAATTGATTTTAAGTATTTTGTTGCACTTACAAACCTAAATGTTTTCTACCATAAAAATTCTCAGCGTTTTGTGCCTTTCCTTGTTCCAAATGTGATATATATCACAAAGGTATACATTAAAATGAACTAAAATCTGTTTTTACAAACTTGTAACAATCATGTATCATAGGCGTTTTTTGTTTTGTTTTTTTTATTGGAGTTGTATTTACGCATTAGTAGCATTACTTTTCTATTCAAAGCCCTGAAAATAAAAAGTTGCATTAAAGTCACAAATTAGCTCTTTTGTTTGTTTTCGATCTAAAATCTTAACACCATATACATTATTTATCCATAGCATTCCTTCAATAAAAAGTTTACATTCTATTAAATATTCAACTACAAATCACTGGTAGGTTTTTTTTTTTTTCAAAAATTTATTTGTTATTACCAATTTATTGAGTATTTAAGTGGTATAAAAATGCTTAGTGCAAAGGTTAAATAAAAGCAATTAAGCAGCAAATTAGAAGTGTCAAATCAGGCACTGGATTTTTGTTTTTAAATTCGAAATGTAGAAAGATAAGAAAAGAGGGTCTTCATTTTAGTGGCATAATTACTGGAAATTTCCACCTCCAAGTCCTTCTTCATTATTTAGTCCATAGATGAAGGCAATACAGGCACCGTTTTGCAGTCCAAACCGTTGAGTGTTTTTGTATTTGAGGGTATACTTATGTAGTATTATTATTGAGGTTTGAGTTACGACCCAGAGGAGTGGACACTGGGGATGGGGTAGAATTTGGAGATGCGGCTCTGTGTGGAGGGGTTAAGGCACTCGGACTCTCCGCTCATTTTGAAGAACACTTCCTGCTCCTGCAACTTCCGAGCAAACTCCTCCTCCAGGGCCTGAAAACAAAACAAATGGTGATGGCACTGTACCTGATTTTTACTGTCTTAAAAATGTGAAACACAACTGGTTCATCTAAACAGTCTGCAAGGGTCCAAACTTATTCCTCACTTTCCTAAAGCATCCTAAATTGTACTCGTCTACTGTACTGTATTTCCTAACAGCTAAATACATCACAAATTAATAGATGTTGGAAATCAATCATTTGGAATAAAATATGATTGGGCCTTAAAGTACTTGAGTTTGCTCTTGTTTTTATAATTTTATGCTAAATATCACACAGACAAGGGGCACTGTTACTCCCACAGTAATACTTGTTAGTTGCTGAATATATATGTCTTACACATGATCACTTAGATCATTAACCGTACACCACCAGTGACCTTGTAATTAATAATCAGCACAGGCTGACGAGCGCACATACCTTCTTCCTTGGCCGTAGTTTCTCTCTCCACTCCTTCAGCTCTAGACTGTGCTCTTCGTCTAACTCCTTCAGCTTCTGTGTTTCATGTTCAATCAGCAGGTGGCACTTCTCATTCTGAAACAATAAAAAACACACCAATTAGAGAATAGGTAAAATGTAAATTAAAAAATGTAGAAATAGTAAAACTGAGATTTGTCACTAAGCTTGAACAATAAGCTAGGATTTGAATATTAAATTATATTTAAATTTGGTATAGTCTGGGACAATGTCTTATCTCCCAGAGTTAGATAGGTATGATTGACAGGCACAGAAATAAGTGAAATGTTGAAAACATTACAAGTCCAAATATTTCTAGTACATTGAAATACCGTATTTTCCGGGCTATTAGGCACTCTGGATTATAATACGCAGTGTCATTAAATTGTCTATTTTCAAACTTTTTTCACAAATAAACCGCACCGTACTTTAAACGAAAGACAACACTTTGATGGGTCAGTCGGGGACTTTGTTTGGCATGTTCATGGTGACTCTCGGCTTTGTTCAATTGTGGCGCGTAGGGAGGGTGCTGTCTGGGACCGCTGGATTGTTGGCGTGTTCGCAGTGACTCAGTTGTTCAGTTGTGGCTCAGAAATGGGACTCGCTTTTTCGGTTCGTTCTTCTGTTCCATTCCTCGTCCGCGTGGATTGATGAGTGTGGCTGAGGGAGTGTTTCGCTACGCGGTTGCTGTCTGCTCCGTGCGTGTTTGCGTGCGCTGTGGGTGGTGCAGCTTTGTGGTTTATTGAAGTCGTGCTGGGACACCTAAGTTTTTTGATGCGGTTGGAGGCTTAAGAGCGCGTCTAATAGCCTGGAAAATACGGTAGCATGAACCACAAAAGCTAATTCCCTTGTCCAGCAAATGAATACTGCTCTATATAACTCTTGGGTACAGAACAGTGCATTAGCTCCAGTCCTGTCAGTCTGGTGTCTGACCTGTAGTTGCTGTAGTTCTCTGACGTTGGCATCACACTGGAGCTGCAGGTCTCTCATCTGGTTCTCATGTTTCTGTTGCTGCTGCAGACGCTCGTTCTTCTGACGCTTCTCTTCCTGAGCTGCAAACTGACACACACAAATAGACAGAAACACACAAACAAATGATTAAGCAGTAAGTTTAATCTAAAAATTTCATTGACAGGGCAGCACTAAATTAACCAAGGAGCCCAGGTGGAGGGCCCTCAAGGCTGAGCAATAACATTTTAATGGAAACAAGCAGGTGGTGAACCCCATATTAGATAAGTTGTATAGCGCAAGACTGATTCATAAATAGCTGTGTTAACATAATGGGTCACTGCTCAATATACAGTATGTACACTTAGTACACTGGCCGAAAAAGATCAAGAATTAGTTTGATACAATACATATAGTTTGAAATTTCTTAAATAAGAAACAATGTTTTTAATAAGTCCCTGGTTTTAATACAAAACTCTCTTGATTTAAACCAAAGTGCCTGTGAGTTTCACCTGTTTGACGCGTTCCCTCTCCTGGTCAGCAGTGATGGTGGCTGCAGTGATGCGCAGGCTCTTCTTGAACATGGCCATGCGTGTCTTGGCCTCACTGCGCTGGATCTTTGGGAGGCGGGTCCTCTCCTGGGTCTGTTTGTTCTTCAACTCCTCGATCAGACGCTGGTTATAACGCTGCATCTGCTCCATCTCCTGCTCCACGTCAATCAAACACAAGAATGTAAAGAATAAAGTGACACTACCAGACATTTTTCATGAATTGCACTGGGTTTAAATGACCAAATAATATATTGTAGATTCTGATTTGTGGGCTGTAGATTCTTCAGTTGCCAAGGGAATTGTATTTTTATTGGATTATATATTTATTTATTTATTTTTACAAACAAACCAGTTAAAACATGTTGGGAAAAAAGAAATTCGAAAACATATTTTGATAGGTGCAAGATATCATGTTTTTAATGCACCAAAAATAATCAAATAATAATATATAGGTTGAAAAAAGTCACATTTTATAGTAATAGCCCGCTTGAGTATTCAGAATATATATATATTTTCTGGGATCAAAGCGAATAATATCTGAACAAAGGTACCCACCTTCTCGTGCCTCTTGAGCAGTTGGTGTCTCTGCATGAAGTACTGGTCTTTGAGCTGCTGCTTGAACAACTGGTGCTTCTCCTGTAGGTGGCGTTCTTCCAGCTCCCACATGGCAGCTTCTCTGGCTACAGGAGAAAACAGCAAGTGCAATTTTATCATCACACAAACATAACACAACAATAAGCTGCAAATCACTGGTTTATACAGCAGGAGCTTTGTAGTTCTGCATTGTTCTTGCATTTCAATTATCAGGAATGTTACAAATATGTTTTGCACCCTTTTGGTTAGGAAGCATACTTTTTTTCACTTTTTGTGTTTATATTACGGACTCTGTTAACACAATAAAAATATCATTTTTGAATGCTCAAAATACTCAACATGCCTTAACTTTCCTAATGAGATCGTGAACCATTGGGGTATTAGTGTGGTCAGTCAAATCTCTTTTCCAGATCCTCCACAGACTGGCTCTCGTGACACAGTTCTCAGGGAATTTATAAAAACTGATGTTTGTGAAACTCCAGGCACCAAGTCTGAGATTAGGGCCAAAACAAAGAGCTTCTTTACTTAGTGATTCTTTGCAGGAAATATATGCTTCCTTTAGTGAACTAAAATGATGGAGTGGGGAACAAATTAATCTTTTTATTTTTATTTTCAGACCACAGTAATATGAAGACATTTTCACAATGTCTTTAAAGTGGGCCTAAACACATAAAACTCACATTTCCAATAGAACAGCCACATTTCAAATAGAGGTGGTAAGTTGTGCAGTACCTGGGTGACTAAATAAAAGAGTGCATTGGGAGGAGAGGTGGGGTCTGGAGGTATGAGGAACAGTGTGATCGGTCTAACAGGTATCCAGACTCGGCCCCTGGAGTCACGTGTTTGTAATCAGAAACACCAGGCTGTAATCAGGGCAGTTCCCAACTACTGGAATTTTTGGCAAGAAAGCTCCAAATTTACTTTGCAATAATGTTCCCAAAAATGATTCGTAACAGTAGATAACGCTATTAAAACGTTATACACAGTTTAGTAGTGAAAAAAAAAAAGATTTAGTGTTTAGTTCCATTTTAAATGTATTAGTTTAGGTTGCAGTATTAGACAAATATCTCAGTATCAGACCAATATGTCAGTGAAATATGTGTAATCCCTCAGTCATCCAGAGTCATCCAGGTAGGTTCCATTTCAAAAGAAAATTGAATTCTGTCAATGGACAAACACTTTGGAGTGAAGACAATCAACAGGCTTCCTTAACTAGGGCTACACCTGGTTTAAAACCGGACTAAACCAGGACTTAAAATAGGATCAAATCAAGATTCAAATAGTTCTAAACAGGGACTAAAGGAGAAAGGAAAACACAAATAATAAGGTCAGAATCCTCTTGGATGAGTGGTGAAACACATTCACTCCAAAACTTTTGTCATAATGACTGAATAAAATTTTCTTTTAAAATATTAGGCAAATACAACAGAACTGTAAAATTGACCATTAAAGCGCAAAAATATAATTTTAATACTCTTGTTTGAAAAATTATGCAAATTTGTTCCATTTGAAATTGTAATCAGATTGTTTTGCATAATTTCAAGATAGGTTTTAGAAGGCTGTGCAATAATCAGGTTTATTTATTTATTTAAATCAAACTTGTTTTTTTTTGGTATATCACCTAGTTATAGTAAATGCGACAGCAAAAAATGAAAATACACAAAAAGATCTGAGTTATCGTATGGTGAAAAGATTAGTAAATTAAGTGCATCGTCAGAGTCATGTCATTCGGATAGACATTTTTGCATGTGTGTGCGCATTTTGTATACCTCGGAGTAGCTGCTGTTTGTGGTTGAGACAGTCCCTCTCGATGGTGGCCAGCTCATGTTTGTGCTGTTGAATGATCTTCTTCAGAGCACTGTCCAGATCCTGCTGTTGCTTCTGGAGAAACTCTTGCTCCTGAAACAGACAAGCATTTAATTTAGAAATAATCAGAAAACAAATCAAACTTTATTTGAGTGATTCTCAAACTGTGGTATGATGACTAGTAGAGGGTCCAATTCTGTAGTTGTCCTAGTTTTATAAGAAAAGATTGTAACACTTTATAATAACTACATTTGTTTATCCTCAATAAAGCACGAACAAAGATTTAAATCATAATGGACAAATAGCCTTAATTATGCTTAATAACTACTTAATTAATACCCTAACCCTTTAGTTAAGCAGATCCTAAGCCTGAATCATTAAATAAACTACTTGTTAATTATGAATTAATTAATTAATTTATTAATAAACTACTAATTTATTATGAAAGAAGTCTTTGTTCATGCTGTATTTAGACTAACTAAGGTGTAGTTATTATAAAATGCACCTATACATATATATATATATATATATATAATATATATATATATATATATATATATATATATATATATATATATATTTTATATATATTTATATTTATATATGTCATAAATCTCTGCTTGTTGTACATTATTATATCATAAAGGACATTTGCTGTGTGCACTGACCTTCTTTTTATCAGGCAAAGTGCCAGGTGGATCTAGGACTAATCTGGCTGATCAAGCAAGCAGAATGAACAATGGGCTGTTTCACCTGCTGTCGCCTCCATTCATGTCCTATTTGGCTCACAGTAAACCACAGTCTCCTACAAGGCATTTGATGGTGTTCACTTTGTTTCTATATAGCTAATTTTTTAAGATTTCAGCATAAAAAGTACACTAGATTTTTAAAAGCTTATTCTGTGAGCTTATTACTGTGAGCAGGGTAGCCTCTCCCCAGATCAAACCTGTAACTTATCCTGGTCATGGTCACTGGCTTGTCTCCATGGAGACAATTTAAGTTTAATGCATACGAAATTCTATGTAAAGCATCTCCATTTAAACAATCGGGTGATGAACCACAGGAAAAGTTACAAATTGCATCTTTACTGCATTCATTATTAATCAAGCCCACATTTCAAAATACTTTACTTCCATCCACTAAATTTTCAGTCCAACAGCATATAAGAATGTATCTTAAATGGAAAAAAAAAAAGGATCACCACATTTAATCATTTCATACTGTAGCGATATTGTAGTTTTGGCTTGTGTATATAGCTGTTGTATAGTCTAGCCCAGGGGTCGGCAACCCAAAATGTTCAAAGAGCCATATTGGCCCAAAAAAACAAAAAACATACCTGCCTGGAGCCGCAAAAAATTAAAAGCCTTATATAAGCCTAATATGAAGGCAACATAGGCTGTCAGTGTATTAGCTATATAAACCTACTATTAAAATGACTAAGTAGGTTACAAATACAAAATGAGCATTCATGATTACACAAACCCCTTTTGCGACCCTCTCATACTCGGTGCGCCGTCTGTAGACCGATGTTTACCTGTTGCTTTGACGACGATGATGGAAGTATTCAGAGCAGCAGTCGCATTTCTTCTGATCGTGCATAGGAGCATTCATAAAACAGCAGCATGTAGAACTTTCTACGCAACATCAGCCCAGAGCAGAAGCTCTGAGCTCGGGCAGCAGCGCAAAATACACGGGAGCAGTCAGCGCGCAGCTCCTCAAGACGGGGCTGGGGGTCCAGTGTTGGTCAGATTGTCCGGAGGTTTCGTCCTCCGTGTCCTGGTTCCAGATGGGGGCGAGCAAGACCAGCGTGCAAAGGACTGGGTCCGAGCGGTTCCGCGTCATCCTCTGTGCGCTGGTTCTGTGCGGGAAAAGCGAGAATGCGCTGTGGACTACAGGTCCGGGCGGGCAGCTCCGGTCCTCCATGCTCGACCGCGGCCTGGTTCCGAGGTGGTGCAAAGCATCCGGACAGAAGCATGTGTTTTTTTTTTTTTTTCGGGGAAAACGCTTCTCAGGTGGAGGCACCGGACACCACCCCCAGCTTCAGCTCATCTGTTTGTTCCGCTGAAACACTTTTCCTATGTTTGCGTTTGCACACAGCTGTTGGATCAGATCCATGACCAGAGATGAACGAGGGTTTTACCCCTAAAGAAACCATATTAAAACAACAACAAAAAAATCATTCCTTTTCCATTTTCACTCATTTTTGAAAAAGCTCCAGGGAGCCACTAGGGGAGTGCTAAAGAGCCGCATGTGGCTCCGGAGCCACGGGTTGCCGACCCCTGGTCTAGCCTATCACGCTATAACTCAGTGCCTTTTAGCTCACCCTGACCTCCCCAAATAATCAAAAAACTAAAATGAAATTCACAGAAAGTAGAAAAGTGTACCGGTTTCAAAAGCATCACCACTGTACACTCTGGGCTGTTACTTCCTGAACAGCAGTGTTGCACAGTGTGTATTAGGAAAACTGAAAGGACTAAATCATTACATGGGCCACTCCCTGCAGATCAAATTACATCATCCAATATTAAATGTAGCAATCCACAAGGACTAACAGCTAATCGGATTAATAATAGCTGGGGAAAAAAGCATGGATAGTGCTGTTATAATATTAAATGGCACAAGAAGAATATGTTGTACGTAATTTTGTGATTTTGAAGAAGAAGCTTGTTAATCTGCCATTGTGCGTTGAATTTTATGTCCCTCTCGCTTCATGGTAAGACAAGTTTCGGTAAAACCTCAGAGACAATAGAAACCATTGTTTGCACAGAAAAAAAGAAATAGACGTAAATAGAAACTGGCTGATTCAGTTTTAAATTAGAAGCTAGGAAAGGGAGGTTAAACTGAGAATCCACTGCAACCAGAATCTGTGTTACCTCCTCTGATGGAGCTGGGATAATGTCCTCTTTGATACGTTTCGTTAAGGCATTTTCTTACAAGTTTGGGAGCACTTCCAGTTTGTCCAAAGTCTGAGCAGCCGTGAGCCAAACAGATCCAAATAAAGGGAGATATATTAGCTGTGGATGGATTAGAGCGATACAGGAATAGTAATGATGTGGCTCGCAATAGTTTCAGCCTCTAGTAAACACTGAGCACAAAAACCCAAACAAGGGCTGGGCTGAGAGACGTGTATCTGTTCAGCAATCAAACAGAACATTATAAATAGCAGACTCACACCAGTGAGTCAGGCAGCAGGGAAGTCAATTGCAGTGTACAGTGTAGAACATAGCCTGGACTGGCATTCAACAATGGAACAATGTCAGAATATAGTGCCACAAATCACATGTACTGGGAGAGAAAACTGTGATTTCACCATTTTGACCATGAACTAAAAAGAAGGAATGGCGTTCATTTCTAATGAGTTACTAGCAGCTGGTAACTAATTGATTAAATAAAGCTGGCAGTCAAAATGAATGAACTATCTTAAAAGAGATTATACCTCTTGTAGTTTTTAAAGTAAAATTTTACTTGTGCCAGTACATATATATTGTATATGCAACTAGGGTCAAAATTAAGACTGATGTGTGTTGCCTGCATCTAATTATAAAGTGCTAATAAACTCAGCACAGTGAATAATTAGGATGCTAGGAAAGCATTATGAAAGTTAGGAATAAGTTTGGAGTGCTGCAAAGTGCAAACTGTATGAAATGAACTAGTTCTGTTTTTCATGTTTTTAAGGGAGAGTAAAAATCAGGAACAACCTGTTTTAATTGACATATAGTATGCATTCTGGTTGCATAATTCATATAGTATATTACATTACCAGTCAAAAGTTTGGACATGCTTTTTCAGTTTGTATCTTTTTTATTTTTGTTTCTTTTTTCAGTGATTATTTGCATTGCAGATCCTCACTGAAGGCACAAAACTATGAAAGCACACATATGGAATGTAGTGAGCAAAAATAAAACTCAAAAGAACTCCAAACTTGTTTCAAATTTTAGATTTTTAAAAATAGCCACCCTTTGCTTTGACCACTGCTTTGGACAACTGGCATTCCTTGACCCTGATGAGGCGCACAAGGCCAAGGGTTTGCAGATCTCTAGACAAAGCAAAGCGTTTCTACTTTGAGGAATATGAATAAAAAATATATGTTTTTGATGATGCTGATGTTTTTAACATCTTGCTTCATATTTTTGATGTCTTCTGTGTGTATCTAAAATGTAGAAAGTAGTAAACAAAAAAAACAGAAGTCTCCAAACTTTTGACTGGTTATGTAAGTTATGCTTAGTTTGATCATGATTATTCTACTGAGACATCAATACAAAGTAATCTGTTTATTTCTGTTTTAGTAAAGGTCAAACAATGATTTGGGAGATTTTTAGGCCAGATGTCCTCTAACCTTGCAGTTACTAAGGTTGCCAAAAGTATTGAAAATCAGACACTAATCAATACTAAAACTAATAATGAAACTAGATACTCATTTGTGTACTGAAAAAAAATTAACAGGACACAATTTGAGCTTTCCTGGACAGTTTAAGTACGATTTTGAACTTTATCATAATGAATATAAGACCTCAGGCCAAGATAAAGAAAACCTAACCTCCTTCTTGCGATTCTTGAGCATGTTCTGGTACTTGGATAGCTCCTTGTCCTGCTCGGCTTTGATGCGTTTGGCTTCGTCCCTCAGTCGTGTGGTGTGTTCCTGCTCCAGTCTCTCAATGGTCTGCTTCTGCTGCCTCTCCAGATTCTCCACCTCCTGGTCGTACTGACGCTTCTTACCCTGCAAAAAACAGCAACTCAATCAACAGAAGATAATTTAAACAACTACTTTATTGCTGAGTAATTGATATTGTGCAACTGAGGTCATCAACATTCTCGGGGTGTGATGGCACTGCTCTGTCTGAGGTTCTGTTCCTTCTGTTCTCTCAAATTAGACTAATCATTCAAAAATCAGACTAATTTGATCATTGTTTTAACACAATCTGACTGTACAGATAAGCAAGTCCCTTTCAAAAAATATTACAGTCACAAGCTGTTAGCATTAGCTATAGACATACATGCAGAACCCCCCAGCGTGATGTAAAGCAAAGTATCAATAACATAGTAATAGCATGGTAATGAGATATACACATTTGCAGCCCTCTTTCCATAATATTATAAAGAAAATATAAAACAATTTTTTTTATAACTTACTGTATTAATATAGGGTTATGGTTACAATTAGAGTTAAAGTTGATCTTTATTATGAAGTAAAGTGCTACCACCTACTTAATGGGCTGGTAAAGCCAAATAGTTTTCTTAAAAATTTTGCTTTTTGTCTCTTAAGATTTCAGTGATTTTCACATGGATTTCAGCTGAGACAAGAGCGGTAATCATAATTTGAAAAATAGTCCCTCCTTTGTCTCCTTTATCAATTTGAAAGAATGACTTTGTTTGACTTGGAATCAGATTAATGAGGGTTTTGCTTGGGGTTTTGAATTAGCACCAGTTTTATTTTCAACACCTTTTTTTTTTTTTTTTTTTTTTACAATTTTCACACCAGTGCGGAACAAACTAACACTTTCAAATGAATGTTTTTCATCTGGATGCTGTTTGAGAGTGAATTTGCTTTTGCATCTTGTAGCTGCATAACTAAGATAACAGCTTGTTGAGTCAATGGGATTTAGATTTGTTTGGTAATCTCTATAACCCAGAACACAGTGTAACTATATAAATATATATGTATTTACTTGCAAATACCTCTTTTATTTTCTTACAGCTATTCTTGTATGTTATGTACATGACATATTTGTTAGCAGAGTGCTACACAATTTGCATCCATTTGAAAAGACATTAATGTTGATCCATATGGCTAATCTGTTAAAACTATGTCCAAACTATTCTTTTAAAAGTTTGTAGTAGTAGTAGTAGTAGTAGTAGTAGTAGTAGTAGTAGTAGTAGTAGTAGTAGTAGTACATGTAGCGTTTTACTCACTGTAGTTTCTTGCTCAAAACGTCTGTAGATCTGCTCCTTTTGTTGCTGGAGTTTGTTGCTGAGCTGCTGCTGGGCTCTTTGCTCCTCCTTCTGCAGCAGACGCAGCTCCCTCAGCTCCTGACGCCTGAAAAACAAACAAATATTCTGTAAGGAAAAGCAGGAAATCTGATGTTGGTTTTACGTGAGTTTATGTGAGTTGTAACCTTGTAAAGAGCCCATATTTTAAATTTGAGGTGTTTCTGGGTCTTATGTAGCAAGTACTGAACCCATAAAGACTTGGTATAACTGTTGTCACATTAAATTTGTGGATCCAAAAATTGTAGGTTCAGCATTTGTGGATTTTCTGCTTTATTCTTAAGTACTTGCACTCCATCTGAAATCATGCTATCAAATTGCATGAGCACAATTAGCCATTCAAAAAACTAAGATTCTGAAATAAGCCTATAGTATAGTCCAAAGATTCATAGTGTAGTAAAATAACTAAAAAACTGAAGTACCTCAGGAACCTCATCTCCTCATTCTTCGTGTCGTTGTCCGTGACAATCTTTGAGGTGGTGACGCTGACTTCAACTCCATCCACCATGAACTTACGCGTTTTCTTCAGTGTCTTCCTTTGACGTCTTGTCTCCTAGAAAAAAACAAACAAAAACAAAACAAATTTACATTACTCATATTATATGCTGTACAAAATTATAGCAGGGCAGCGTAAAAAAACATTACTAAATAGCAAAAGAAAATACATAATAAAAATAGACAAATTTTTCCAAACGCTTAAAAAGTAATAATTATAATTGTTTGGGAGATGAGTTTTGAGCTCAGGCAGCTAGTTGTGTGTTGCATTGTACTGCTGTTTTAATATTAGTTTGTAAAATGGTTTGTTTAAGTTATGAGTGTTTCCAATTAATATAGCAAAATAGGGTAGTCTCCTGTAGTGTTATTGTTTCCCAGTTCCTGCTATAGTCCAATTTAAGAGTAAATCTGTATATACATTTTCTTCTTGCATTTAGTAACATCAAGTAACAAAATTCTTCAAAGATGCTGCTTAAAGATGAAACAAAGGCAATATGTGGCATTTAGATCATGTGTTTTCACATGTATCCTAACTAAATCAAATTACTCAGAAATCTCATGTAAATCAATATCAGTAATCAATAAAATGCTTCAAATAAAGGTCACACGTTGCACCATACCATTCAGCAGTAATATACAAGGAAAAGTTACCTGTATAGACACTGATGTCGGGTCTTTAGTTTTGGACAGAAAGCTTGAAATAGACAGGTTAAGGTCCACACTGCTGTTATCCACTGTAGACTCCTTCTCATTTTTAGCTCCCTCCTTCTCTGCCGCCTTCTCTCCATTCTCTTCGTTTGAAGCGACTTGTTCTGGCAGCGTGACGGTAACTTTCAGATGTTTGTACCGCTCCTCATCCTCCTCTTCTTCTGCCTCTGCTGGAGATACTGGCTCTTGTGCAGCTTCCATCTTGTCTTCCTGTGGTGTTTGGATTGCCTCTGAACTGTCCGTTGTGGTCTCTAGAACCTCTGCAGTGTCGACCTCCTTCTCATCGTCGACACTTAACTCCAGTTGTTCCATTTCTTTTACAGGGGCATTGGGTTCTGTCTTTGCAATGTCCTCCTCTGTATCTGTAGGTGTTACTTCTTCTTGTACCTCCACCTCTTCAACTGGAGTGTCTGTAATTTCTTCCTTCTGCTCCTCCACCACAGGGGAAGCAGGCTCATCCACATGGTTGGCCACAGGCAGGGCATCAGGCGTAGGCAGGGGGGTAAGAGGGGTAATGGGGCTAAGAGGGGTAATGGGGCTAAGAGGGGTGATGGGGGTGACGGGGGTAAGAGGCTCCATGTTCTCCGGGACAGACTCCAAACTGGTGGGAGATAGAGGGATTTTCTCATCCTCTGAACTGGCAACGCTGACGTCTGATGGAGCACGTTTGTGACCCTGCAGAAAAGGGAGAGAGGGCAAAATAAAAATGTTAGGTGGTTCATTATTTTAGCTTTATCATTATATAATAACATATAATAACAAACTTAACTCATCATTTGGGGTGTTCATGATTTATTGATATAAATGTCAGTTTAAATTGATAAAATTATTAACTATGAATTGTTATGCTTTGTAGAAAAACGTACTCTGTCATCTGAGAACTTCAAACAGACAAAGCTATAAAATACACAATTATAAGGGTTTAATAATTAGCTTCACTTGATTTATTTAATACATTATAGTATATTGATTTGCCACTTTGTTATCAAACATAATAGCAAATAAATGTAACATGTGTAGAGCTCAGAAATGACTAAAACCTAATTAGAAAAAAGAAAGATAAGACTGAATGTGAATGTCCTACAACATTTACAGCAAAGCAATTTAATATAACCATCTGAATTAGATTGTAAAAGGTGAGAGCAGACCAACTGAGCAGAAAGTCAATTGGCCTGTTTAGATGCTTAGAACCGTGTAACCTTTTGAAAAACCGGGTATAGAGTAAATATCACAGGTCACTCACGAGCTGTGGCTCTGGCTCCTCCTCCTCTTCCTCCTCTTTGTGCTCTTCGATCTCCTCGGTGACCTCGGCCTTGGCTTCAGCAATCAGCTCCCGAAGCGGCCGATTATCCACCAGGCTTGACACAAATGAATGCTATAAAATACAAAATATCAGCAACGATTAGGCTTCATTGTCAGTGTTTTAATTTTTATTTCAGTTACACCACTTAGGTATTTCTTCTTGCTTGATGTAACATTTGTGTGCAATTTATCTAGATAATGTATGTAGTTTTAAAAGTAGTATTGATACAGCAATTACATTTTCCATTCCTTTTTAATTAAAACTTCTGAAATATTAACAAACTAATGTAATACAAGGACAAGACATTATTTGCCACCTTCATTCATTTGTTAATTGCAACCATTTCCAAGACTACTAAGATTTCAGTTTTAACTTGATTGTTGTAATTTTGCAGGCCTCCTAAACACATTCAAAAAGCATCTGTATTAGACTTATCAATTAAAAGGAAATACATTTGATACAATTTTGCTTTGCTTTCCTCTCATATTCTACCATAAGAATTATCTTAATCGGCACAATCAATGCACAGTTCATTTTCTGTGAGTCTATGGAAAACTACAATGCGACCACCTATACTTTCTATACAACATACCTTCTTTTTTTTTGACAGCTGCTGTACATAAAGAATCGCTGGCCTCAGAATATACATCTTCTTAGACATCAAAACCTTCACTGGTGGCAGTCCACAATTTTGCATTTTCAAACCCATTTTCTTCTTTCTTTCCCTTAAAAGCCTATGTGTAAGTCTGCTGAAGAGCTCTGATGTACACCTCTACCTGCACTGCTAGCAGAGTGACACAGATTGACAGTGCCCTGTGAGCGTGATGGAAAAAGGACATCCAGCTCTGACGTCAGTGTAGGACACAGGGATGAGAGCCAGGCCGGAGTACACCTGTCGCACTGCGCAGATGTACTCAGGTAAGCTCTACACCATCTGATGACAGGTGGGCGCAAATCGTCAAAGGAATTATGGTTGATTTAAATAGGCTTATAAAGAACATCAGGGTTTACAGTGTATTTATTCCCAAACTTATGGTAGTGTCTTGACTATAAATAATGATAACAGATTTAATTTGTAATCTCAAATAACTAAAGTAAACCATTATTCATTCAGTCTTGTGGCCAGAGTTGCCCTGGGGTTGAATTAGAAGCTGCCTTCTGTACCAACAGTCGATTTGATCACCACACCACCTAGCTCTCACAGTAAAGATACCATCAGTACTAAAACAAGATATTCATTTAAATTGGCATTGATACTTAAAAACAGTTAGACCATTCCTGAATATGTGTAGAATTCTCTGAAAAACTTTCTATGATTTTGACATCAAGATGTGGCCATACCGGCTTGTAAGCTGGCTGGGCCTGGGTAGTACTTGGATGGGAGACCGCTAGGAATTCCAGGTGCCACAGTGGGGCGCCAGTGGCAAAAAACTGTCGTTGTGTCCTTAGGCAAGACACTTCACCCACATTGCCTAGTATGAAAGTGGTGTGAGCGTGAGTGATGGTGGTGGTGGTCGGAGGGGCCGATGGCGCAGATTGGCAGCCTTGCTTCTGTCAGTCTGCCCCAGGGCAGCTGTGGCTACAGTAGTAGCGTACCACCACTGAGTGTGGAGTGACTGAGTAATGAACTGTAAAGCGCTTTGGGTATCTTGAAAGGCGCTATATAAATGCTATCAATCAATCAATCAATCAAGATCAATATCTAGTAGAGGTGTAGTGATATCCAAGTCTCACGATACAATATCGTCACGGTATGAACCTCACAGTATGATATTTATTACGATATGGCTCACGATTAGGGATGTAACAATATCCAAATCTCCCGGTACAATATTTTCACGATATACATCTCACGGTATGATATTTATTGTGATATTTTGTGGAGCGTAACAAAACTATTAATATGATACTTTTTCCCATTAAAATGCCAAGTCAATGACAAGACTTAATCCAAAGAAATAAGTCTTAAAAGTGCTTAGAACTGTTGTTTCTGAAATGGTGCAAAGGATCATGGTCTATGTAGTTCCCTCTGTCTTTTTTTTATCAATTGCTGCACCATAACTCTTAATTTAAGCAAAGAGACTTGTAATTCGATATATTGTGAGAGTCCACGATATTATTGTGAGAACTTTGATGATATGATATCACAATATTTCAGTTATTGTTACATCCCTAATATCTAGTGACGTCTTTTCCCTTGCATCAAAAAATACATTTAAAAACATAGTATTGTTACAACACTGGCTGACCCACACACATAAGGTGGGTGAAGTGTCTTGTCCATGAACACGACTACAGAACACAGTGATCAGAGGTTGGATCAAAGTTCATATCTTAAAACATTAAGTTACACCACAACACCACTCCAAAACAACTGCTCTGAACATTACTTTCATAATCAACAGCTCATCACATGAAAGTTGTATTTTATCTAATCGCAGAAAATGACAAACAGAAGACTTCTCAAACCTGTAGAAGCTGTGCAGCGGTCCACCTGTTGTCTACATTCTTGTCAAGACATCGTCGAAGAAAATCACTGAACTCTGGGGACCTATTTACGGGATAAGAACAGATAGAATTAAATGTTGTACGTAGTCGTTACATAGCATACATTTCAAAATACCAAATTGCCTGCCACTATCATCTATGACAACTCAAAATTGAGCTGTGCAAATGAATGAATTATTTTTAAGATTCACTTATGTCCAATCAGCAGTGATCCATGGCCCTTACAGGTCTTACAGGCAGTAAAATCATGTTTGGAGGAGAGTTTAAAATTTGGAGACAGAAATATTAAAATGAATTTTGTTGGGATTAAAATTCTCTATTGTTGCAAATTAATTGCATTACTTTTAATAAGACAAAATTAAATCAAACTACAGATCATGTTCAGAACACTTGGAATGTTTTATTTTTACTTTATACAATATTAGACCATGTTTGTAGTTTGACTCACCATCTGGAGGGCTGCATGAGGGTGGGAGGGTCTGCTTTGGCGATCTTCAGCAGAACTCTCATGGGATTCATCTCGTGGTTTGGGGGCTCGACCTGGGCCAGTTCAATCAGGGTCACACCCAAAGACCAGATATCGGCCTTATAGTCGTATGGACGGTCCTTAGATGTCTCACACATAACCACCTCTGGAGCCATCCTGAAAAGAAATACAAAAATACAGTATAAAAAGGGGTTCTACTCAATTTCTTCATGTAGTAAAGAACAATTTTTCTTGAAATTTGTGAAAAGCATTAATAAATTCATTGTGGTGAATAAATATAATGCTAGGGAAGGGTTTGGAAAGTGAAGAATTTTTGAGCCAGTAAAAACTGGTTCAAAAATTCTTCACATTAAAATAAAAACAGCTACTTCTATAAGCTTTGACATTGTATCTCACCAGTAGGGCGTTCCTATGAAGGAATCTCTTCTCTGTAGTGTTTTGGTGTTTTTGGCAGACACTCCGAAGTCAGCTGGAAAAGATGTGATACAAATAGGGAAAAGGAAATCATTTATTTTACTAACATGCATTCAAATCAATGTAGTCCAAAGTAGAGCCCGACCGATATATCGGTTGGCCGATATTATCGGCCGGTATGGACACCTGGAGGCATATCGGCTATCGGCCGATATGCTTGCTGATAGGGGCCGATATTTCACGTGGGCATGTGATACGTCGTTAAAAATCTTAGACTCTCTACATTCTGTTCATTTAATCCAATTTACAGACAGATAAATGTCCTAATATGTGACTCCGCATCAGTATTTATCTGTGGAGTCATATGTCTGTGTGTGTGTCCGTACTGTCCCTGAACACACCACAGTCGCGTCACTCACGTGTGTTTGTTTACACCCTCAGCGGTGCGCAACACTGAGATTATATTCTTTTTACGGACAATCGGTTTGAGTCTGGATTAAAAGGACATTTATTAGTGCAGACTTGTGATGTGAGGAGGAGCCTGTATGAGCGGTGAGTGTTGGAAATACATTGACTTTGAAGCTAGCTTTGGTCATTTGTTATGGGTTAGCTGCTGTAGCTCCTGCACATAAACAGGCTGTTTTCTATTGGTCTATTAAAGTGACTATATTGGCCGTATATTTGTTACTGGACCAGCACTGATATGTAAATGAGCTGTGAACAGACGTGTGAATTATGACATTTGCGAATATAATTAATTACCGCGGCGCACACGTATTTACAGCTAAAGGCTAATAGCGCTAGTTTCTTTACAAGGTATGGGTCGGTCGTGAACGAAATGACTCTTAGATCCGGCTCTTCGAAGCGAACGACGGGAGCCCGATCCTTATTAGGAGCCGTGTTTTCTGTTTCTCTCACTGTTTTTCTCTTCACGCCGCGTGCAGACTCGTAGTTTGACAGCGGCAGCGGCTGAAAACGAAACTTTGAGAAATTTGCGTGTACATAGGATAAAAAAAAACAAAAAAAACAAAAACCGAGCATATTTGGCTGTAGTTTAGCATAAAATAAATAAGTCCCGGTTTAGTCCTTTTTCAGTCCTGGTTCAGTCCTGATTCAGTCCTGATTCAGTCCTGCTTTAGACGTGCTACAATCTGAAGAGCCGCTTGGGAGCCAAAAGAACCAGCAGCTTTTAGTGAGCCGAGTCAAAAGAGCCGGTTCTCTAAAAAGAACTGGAATACCCGTCACTAGTGTCTAGAATGTGATGCAAAAATGCCATTAAGCCAACCTACTGTCTGTAAATATGATGTAAAGAGGCAGAATAACAATAAATGTTGCCTAAATAAACCCAATTTAAAATCCACCAAAGCCAAACCTAAGTTTTTTAAACAATTCAACATTTACAGTGAATTTTTACATCACTAAATATATCGGCGATTATATCGGCTATCGGCAGCTCCAACTCCCATTATATCGGTTTTATATCGGCCACAGAAAAATCCATATCGGTCGGGCTCTAGTCCAAAGCTGCACCCTTTATTAAAATAATCATGTCAAAACATGATACCACCAAAGACATATTAGTTGATATAATCAGCACAAACTTCTGATTCCAATTAGGTTATCAGATAGTATTAATAATAATACATCGTGCAAATTAGGCCCTGAAACACAAGATAATTGTAAAAATAAATGAATAAAATAAAATTTGCATTTGCTAGAAAAGGTCTGTTTGTACTGGTGATTTTCCATTTGAAGAACTTGCCGATTTTGTATCTAATCATTTTAAATGCCTGTACTTTTTTTTTTTTAATCCTCCACGCCATCAAAGAACTACAGGCCTTTAAAATGTGATGTCATGTGAAATCCAGTGATTCTGAAGACACAGCTCACATAATCACATTGTGAGTTATGTCACTGGACTAAAGACTCAGTGTGTGGTTTCTATGGGCGGCAGTGTCCAGGCAGGAGTGACTCATACACCACTGTACTGAGACAGTCTATTACATTTGCTATGTGCTCTGCTCAGATTTAAGTAATGTCTGAGGCTAATTTCAGTATATCAGACTTATGTGGATTCTGGCATTCACTCACCAAATGTATTAAGCATGCATCACGGGATGAATCATGTGGAAGGGTAAGCCATGTGTACTAGCTTTAAGGAAACATTTAAAAATATAGTTTCAAGAGCTTCAACCATGTTATGTGTTGTTTTCAATCATCAATCGATGGCTCAAAGTAGATTTCTGAGTGATTCTTTCATGTTTAAGTGATAAGGTTTTCCTTAAAGCCACGGTCTGTGACTTTGAGCTATACAGATCAAAATAAAAAGTTTAAAATAGAATACTATTTATTTATTTATTTTTCATTTTGGTTGTTTATAAATGCACTAAAAATGTTTTTCCATACTCTGAGTGGCCCTCCTCCTGCTTGTTTCCATGGATATATTTGGCTATAAAGTTCCACAGTATGGCATTAAATCTTCATGGAGAATGTTCCATGAGAATGACGTATGGTTTTAACTTTCTATTTCCACGGAATCATGCAGGTGGCATGCCAGCTCCAGATAGTTACTTACTGTACCTTTAATTTGAGTTGATCTAGCTCTGAAAATGATTTGTTGGTCACACACTTTTCTTTACAAAAACTGTAATACAACTAAGGTTCAACAGCATTGTGTAATCAGTAGTTTATAGATTATAACTAAATACCAGAAAAATAATAATATGTCTTCTTTAAGTCTTAAGGCTTAGCTGTAGGTTAATATACATAGTTTAAGCTCAGTGCAAGAATAATCATGTTTTTTGCAAGTGCAGGGTTTATGTGACTTTTGGGGCTGCACTGGTTTAAAAAAGACTATAAACAGTTTGAATGTGAGGCAGTATTTCCAGGAGTTATATCACAGACCACAAGAGGAAAGTAGAACTGAGCAGTGTATAAAAGAATAAAAACACATCTTGAAAGAAGTCATTTCAGCACAAAACATAGTATGCCGTGTAATGGGAGTATAACAGATTTATCAATGGCTGCAGAAAAAACAAACAGTTCAAAGTAGTTTTCAAAACAGGTGAATGTGAGGTAAAGTATTATTCTATAATTGGTCAGCAGGTGCACAGAACATCTGTAAGTCCACGACACTACATTTGGGAAAAGGCTTTTTAGTTGCAGCATTTGCATACACAGAGATGGATAAATACAGCACTGGATGTTGGTTCAGGATTGTCAATCAATGAATGCATTACTGTTAAACTATTAGTTAAAGATTAAAAAAAAAAAAATCTGATATGGTGACTAAACTAACTAAAGCTTTATATAATTTTTAATGTTGAACCGCTTGCATACTGTACTTCCAATAACCTGATTAAACATTTGAGTTATAAAACCGTAACTTTATTAACATATTTGTGTTACTTACCCAGTTTGACTTGGCCGTCCATGGTGAAGAGGATGTTCCCAGCTTTCAGGTCTCTGTGAATGATCTTGTTTTCGTGGAGGTAAACCAGAGCCTGGAGCGTCTGCTTACAAACCACTCGGATCTGGGGCTCAGTCAGGGGTCTCTCCAGCTCTGCAGAAAATCAAAGTTACACAGTTACAACCAAATAAATACAATTACAGTGACATCAGGATTGTAGCATCAGTTGAGTTAAAAAAGGTATATGGTAACTGAAAGCTTGTGGACAGAGAATTTAAAAATGAAATGTAATATATTTTTTACATTTATATTTAATAATGCCAGTGTTTTTTGGGGTTTTTTTTGTTATAAAAAGGTATGCGTTTTAGAGTCTTTATAGTTCACATAACAACGCACGATTTTGATTATTTTACTTGTTAACAACAAAGACGGCGGATTTTCGCAGTAACTATTTATGACGTTTGATCCTGATCTCTACAATGTGGTTTGTTTGACTTGTGGGTTTTTGCTGTATTGAATAGTAAAGACTGCTTTTCAAACAGATTTTGGTTACCTAATCTAAAGAAAAATGATGACTCACCTAGCATGACAGCATCAACAGCCCCTCCTGCACAGAACTCGATGAGGATCTGTCAAAGAAGAGGGAAAATGGACACAAAGATTACAAATTCAAGTAGATTTAGCTAAAGAAAGGGCACTTTAAGCATTATGTAAATCCACAGCATTATTATTTAGAGGTCAGTTAGACAGCACCTCTCTGGACTCTGCTCTATTGTGTGGGTCTGGAAGGTTCTCCTTTACAGCATTCATTTATCCATCGTGCCTCTACATCCTTTGTGCTCAATCAGCTGACAAAACTCCCAAATCATCACAATGAATCTCACACTAGACTAAGATACCAGGGGAAAAAAATAGTTTGAGGAGTGGTGGAGCGAGTTAATGGAGTTAGTTTCTTACTATGAATAAAAACCTGCTAACCCTGAAGACTAAACCTCTTCAAACATTATGTGAAATGCAATAGTTGAATTAGTTTAGAAGGCTTCAGTCTTCTTTCAAATGTTAGCTACTGAAAGTAATTAAGATTAGAGATCAACCACAATGTTGTTTTTTTTTTCCACAAACAATGCAAGTGTTTAGAATACAGAGCAACTGATGGCCAATAAGCTCAGCCAATATTCTTAGCCTGTTATATGGGACATTATAGGGACAATTTAATAATAATTTTTTTAAAAAATAATAATAAATTTCCCCAAATGTTGTTATTTCAATTTTCAAACTCACCCATAGCCTTTTTTTTTTTTTAGTTATCTCCTCATATGAAAGTGTTAAAATAAAGATTTGTGTATACTTTGTAGGTAGCAGATCAGCCACAAAATATCTGATGCACTAAAAAATACTGGCCAATATATCGGCCCATCCCTAACTAAGATGTGAACTTTGAATGTAATCCTACTATTAAAACGAAAATCTTTTTTACAATGCTTTTCAGAAAACGGAGCCCCACACAAAGAGCTTACATATCACCTTGTAAGTTCCAGATTAAGCAGTTACACAGTTTGATTTGTGTTGAATATGTGTCAGATGAACTAAATGTGAGTGAATGACCTGGGACCTGGGCCTATTTGTGAATGAGCTCGTAGGGGCATTTAGGAGCTGCAGTTTGGCTTTGACATAAGAGGATTGTCCCAGTGGAGGCTGCAGTGTGGACGTGTTTCACCACTCGGCCAGAGCCTCATGCCGTTAATAGGATTAGTTTCTATGGACACAGCACCTTGGCTTTGGCTGTGGTGTAGTAGCAGATAAGGTGAAGCATCTGGAGAAGACTTTATTTAGCCTGGCAATAGAAACAGTATGGAGGATAGCGAAAATATCAAATTGCAATTTTCAGTGATGTAATTACATTTATGGTTTATTTTTCCAAGACTGGTATATGAAGTGCACAAACTAACTTCTATTTTTGACTTAACACCTTATTTTTAATGCATGTATTTTATCATAGTTTATATTTTATTCATATTCATTCATGTTTTACGTTGCACCATATTACCAAAGCAAGTTCCAGGATTGTGAATTGGTTCACTGACAGTGGCAATAAAACCTTTTGTGATTCTTCAAAACTGATAAAACAATCACATGCATTTCATTTCCAGAATTAAGGGGTTAGTAGATTTTCTATTTAAAGTGAAAATCCAAATAGAAAATCTGGAGGCAGAAAAACCATACTTCATTCTCCATGAAGATAAGTTTTATGCTGTACTGTGGAAGATTATAGCCAAAGAAACAACATTTCCATGGAAAACAGCAGGAGGGGACCCTCTTCCAAGCCAAATAAGTAAAGTTTGTGGAAATACATGCCCGCTCACAGTGAGGACACATGTTTTTATATGTTTTACAATGCAAACAAAGTTGTATACTATGGTTTTAGTAACACACAGGGCTATTTTGTTGTTTGCAAAAGACATTACATCTCTTTAATAACAGCAGCCTTTGCTTATTAACAGTGATTAATGGAAATTTTAATTGTTCAGGGTTTTCCATTAATAGTTGAGACATTGTGGCGCTCCATAATCTCATTTTTGTCCCCATAGCCTTAAAAACAAGATGAACACAAAATGGTGAACGCAACTGATATTTAAAATGCTTGTACAATTGTCATAAATTCATCATTATCTATACTGTATTAAATAAAATGATTCAAATATATCCATATTTTAGGCAGACCTGTGGGAAACGCTGTTGTTATTCAATTGTGATTAATGTTGAAGCCCTAAATAGAAAAGTGTACTAATAGAGTAAGCCCTTTAGAGACTTGGTAAACGTTAATCACAGGGAGGGGGAAGTACAAGTGTAACTTCTACATTCATGAAGCCATTGAGAAATGCACTGTGGTTGATACAGTTGCTCAAACTGTTTCTGATATACTGTTGGTCAATGGTGAAACTGAAAATCTTTGTATTCACAAGAGTTCTCTGCTTAAGGAGAGCTGTTCAATTCTGTCCCACTTCACACAATCAAGAGTGTCCCAGGAGGGCAAGATAATAATAAAAAAGAGAAACTTACAGTGTCATTTTCCACTCTAAGGGTATAATAAGGTGATATTTAAGTGTATAAAAATCATTCACTTTGTATCTTATTTGAATCTAGAAGAGGGCAAAATTGACAAAAATGAAAATCTCTCTCTTTAAAATAAGGAAAAAAAAACAACTATAATCAGAGGATATACTGGCAGTTTTTTTGTTTTATATGCAATAAAGCCAATGTTCACATTTTGAATATATTTAAAACAGCATGTTATCAATATCAATATCACCACCTCTAATTGAACTTCAAATGTTTTAGCACATTTATTGTAAAAAAAAAAAAAAAAAAAAAAAAAGATTTATATTATTCTTTTAATCAATATCTCCCTGTTCTTACTCATTCCCTAAACAATTGTGCCTATTGCTCTGCTCTAGTGTTGGTGAATATGTAGGCGCACTGTTGTTTTAGTGCAGTACAATGGGCCTCTCTCAGGTCTATGGCAGCACCAGAGGAACTTGAGGACGGGCTGTGGCTTCCTCCTCTCTGTTTATCTGACACACAAACAGTTCAGAACAAGTGCACAGCCTCAACTCACTTCATTCATGTGGTTGAGCTGGAGGGAGGGATGGCATGCTATTTGGCCTGCTGCTGTGGCCAATAACCTATACTCACAGATACAGATATTTAGCTTTTAAAATCCATAGCAAGTCTGGCATACTTATCTTGAGTTGAAGTACAGATCATATATTAACTTTTCACTTTTATAACAATAATAACAAAATGTTTTCATCTGGAATATATGATGTCAAGTGTTTGTATAAAAATACAGCAATATAAAACTCTTCTGCTTCCATTTTTGTCATGAGTCTGTTCTATTCTGTTGAAAAAAACAAATCTGATACACTTAGAACCCCTGGGACTGACACATGGGCACATAGAGAATGGGGCACAGAATATCGATATCGCTCAATACCGACACTAGAACTGACATGCCATTCATCCCAACAAGATGATGTTAAAAATCATCCTAAAAACAAATCAACAAGTATCAATAATCCTGATAGAAATTACATAAACAGGACTAAACTGAACCTTTAAACTTTTCCTGAATAGTTTTAGAATGGTCCTCTACAATATTAGAATCATAAAACCACATTGTAAACTATACTTATCAAGATTTTTACGTATGTGCCAATAGGTTTAGCATTTTCAGTTCTGACAACATAACATGCCTGTCCCTTGGTTGAGATTGGAGTTTTCATAAGTGAATGGTAAAATGAACCAAAAGAGCACAATAATACATTATTGTTCATACAGTTTTCCCATTGCCAATGATACTTGATATTTTACATCCTTTATAAAACAATTACTATCATTTTGTCAACAATAGATTGCCACCCTCTATTCTATGCTGTGAAGGGGGATGTTGAAAAACCTGTAATACAACACAGCATTTTGGGTTGTGGTGCCAATGCAAGATGAAGAATCTGTATATTACTGTAATTTATGAACATTATTTGAAGCCAGGCCTTTCATCTTGAATAGGAAATGGCCTGAATAACTTCTCTCTTACACAAACAGGTGCCACAGAGGCCGAGATTAAAATCTACAGACAAACTCCACTGGGCTCTGGCTATTGTCTGCGGCACAATGGAGAGGAAAGAGACAGAGCAGGGGAAAAAATGCACTGGATTTTAACACCCAGGTAATTACTGCAGTATCTCCCACTTTATATTACCAGTGAAAGTGATTTATACATTTATGACAGCAAGTAGTCTTTGGGCATGGAATGTTAAAGGTGCACTATGTAACTTTTGAGGGTTTGTCACCTTCTTGTTTCCATAGACATGTTATTGCTTTGCTTGGATTCTTCCACAGTATACGGCATTAAACTTGTCTTGTCCATCTTGCATGTTGTGGATATAGGCCAGAAATACCATGAAAAAAATGCATTTTATCGTCTCCATGGAAACAAGGAGAGAAATGTGAGATCTAATTTGAAAAGTCTTAATATTGATGGGACAAATCTACTTGTTGTTATTATTGTGGTTTTCATGAACTATCTAGTATTTGTAGAATACTAGTAAGTCTTCATATTGATTCTACCTTCTGTGTGGCAAATCAATTGTTAATTAATAAATCCTCATTTCAAGGGCTCTGCAACAATTATTTTACTAATCACTTTATCTACCAACAAAAAGCTCAGCACACAGCAAGTTTGAAAGTCTGTGCAATAGTCTACTCTAAATGTCATATGATTATGTGATTACTTTGTTGACAAGTAATAAAAAAAAAAAAAAAGATGATTATATTAATCATCTGATCAACTTTTTTTTTTTTTTTTTTTAACTTTTCGGTTATGATGGTGACACAATGCACACTTTAATAAACACTGTCAAAAAGTTTGAAGAAAAACTAAAACTCAAGAAAAAATACCAAATGGATTTAAACACTTTTTAAGGAGCCTATGATCAATACAAGAGTTCATGCTTCTGTTTAGGTGTTTGATTATCAGCATAAATGTGAAAGTGACTGACGAAAAAACTGATGGGTGTTTCACTGCACAAATAATCTCACGTTAGCTCCTTCTTGTTAGACTAAGTTAAAATAAAGATAAAGTTTAACAGAGATTCTGACAGAACAAAAGCTCTGGATCACAGCCCCAAGTAATGTTGATGACTTCAGCTGCAAAGTATCAATAAACTATCACTTTATGCCATCCTATTCATGTTCATGTTCCTGTTCATGATAGAATTAAATATTGTTTCTCTGGAAAGGGGTGAGTGTTTCGTCGACTTTACCTTTTTATATGCACAAAAATAGGTTCTAAATGTTGTGTAAATTGTGGTATTTTTTACTAAATAGGTCTGTTGCAAGGGGTTAAGGTTGCAGGGTGGTCAGTGCAGGTAGATTTTCTATGACTTTACATAGTCTTACAATGGGCAGAGAGACTGCTGTCAATTTAAACACTGAAAGCTCAAAACAACTTGAAAACTTAATTTTTAGTGCAGCACTACTACCACTACTAGTTACAAGCCACATTTCGGGTGTTAGAAGATTTTTTAGAGCCCATTATATTTGATGTGTACGCTAATCACAAATGCTAATGAGTCATTAGCATTTAATGAATATCTCTCTGCAGCAAGGCCAAATTTATGTTTTAAAATGCAGCTTTACTTTTGCACGATGTCATTTGTTATTGTATAACTGCACCACAGTAGACAGTAAAAATGAAGACTGGTTGAATATTTGAGCAATTTATGCAGATTTTTTTTAGGGTTTGAGTACATTAGGAATAAGAGAGGTGGTGTATAGTTCATGCGTGTAGCTGATTGATTGATTGACAGGGTAATAAACAGGCATCACAATTTATATTTTGTTATGCTTAAACTTATGAGAAACTGCAGGACTGAGGAAAAACATTTAAATTGTGTACATGCAAACAAATGAAAACTGACGTAGTACCATCTCTGAAACAAGCAAACTATTGTTTAACAAAGAAATAGAAAATACCTCGTGTGAAATAATACTACCTTGGGACTTCACCAATTATCTATATCTCATAGCAAGTCTTTCCAAATAATACCTCTTTGTGTTTATGACTGCTTTCTTCTTGAACCAGTCAGTCTTATCACATACAAAGGAAGCTCTGTTTCACTTCTATCTGCTCAGGACTCACCCAGAGTTTGTTCTCATAGTAGAAAGCATCCAGCAGTTTGACAATGTTGTCGTGATCACAGGAGGCCAGGATGTCGATTTCCACCATGTAGTCCTCCAGCTCCTCCTCGCTTTTGGTGTCAATGACTTTGGCTGCAGCCAGAATGCCGGTCTGTTTATTTTGAGCCTGGAATATAATAATTACCAATATTACAAATGTATATAGCCAAATGTCCAAAGCCAAAAAGACATTTATTTCAACAACTAAAGATATAAAAAAATTGTTTTGCAATTGTTTTAATTTTAATGGATTCAATCATTCAACCTATCATTGTCAGTATGGAGCAGAGTTCAGACTTTGGAGGAAGAACAATGTTTAAAAAGGAATGGCAATGATTAATAATAAATAAAAAAGAAATTAACATCGAAAGCCATTTTATTTGACAAAACAAAACCATAATTGCTCAACCCTTGCTGCAAGCAATACAATATAGGGAATTCCTTTTTTTAGACATTTGGTTTAAACATAATGTATTGTCCAACTTATGGGGGCCTCCATATTTTTTATCTATTAATGTGAAACTCAATAAGCATAATCACAACAAAGCCCAAACTACAATCTTTACAAACAACATAACTATTTTGTTCTTAGGTAATCGCTTTGCAATTCACTCCATCAAATCCAAAATAATGAATGCGATTATTGTAAGTGATTTGTTATGGTCAGCAGACATATTCAACATAATATTCAACATAAAATGGAAAATTCAGCTGTTTGTTTTGACTTTTTGTGGACAGGATGTGCTCAATGAAGTGATATAGGATGCAGCCACTTCCTGGTGACCTAACCCTGCTTTACAACTGGTATTAGGAAACACATAAACTCTAGTCTAGGATTAACAGTAATGTGTAATTGTTTATTCACATATTTCATTTCATGAAAATTCTTAAATAAAATGAGCTACTACTTCTGCAACCTGCAAAAACATGCACTGTATGTATTATTAACACTGCCTCTGTTTTGCCTGAGAATTGCAGGTTTAATGCCAGTAAAGAGGAAACTTGTGACTGAATTAATTGGGCAAGAAGATTAGGCTTAATTCAAGTACAATGGAAAGCAACAATGGGATATAGAGGAGACCAAAATAGAACTTGGCAGCTAAACAAAAGATTCTCCCAGTCTCAGGCAAGTTGTTCATTTCTAGATAATAATAACTGTTAATACATTATTGATAAAAGCTGTACTCTCATACTCTTGTCTCAATTTGGGTTTAGCCTCTTGTTATAAGACCTTTTACAGACTTTACCATTTAAAAAATATAACTTTTTTTGTTAATTGCTATGACAACAGTCCTAATATTTCGTCAGTCTGAAACTCATAAACCCTTTTGGGCTCTGAAAGAAAAAAGTTATGTAATGACACTGTAATTGTTTGTAAAACGTCAAGATATGTTTTGCAGTCTAACTATTTGACAGAAAGTAAGATTTTAAATTCAAAACCAACTGGAAAGAGAAACGCTAACAAAAATGACAATTTCATAAATATTAGCTGTCAGCAGTGTGTCACGTGGGTTCAACTCTGGTGTGGGGTTGGAGGAAAAGGGTGGGTGGGTAATCAATATAAAACAATGAATAGAAAGCTGAAAAGTGCCTGTGTGGTGAGATAAGAATGAGTTAATGAAATGGATTTGTGAGTAATCAGATTAGACGGAGAAACTGCATTATTGAGTAAGTTTTTGGAGGTCGATCATACCTTGAAGACTTTCCCAAAAGCTCCATCTCCCAATTCTCCGATGATCTCCCACGTCTCCTCTGGGTTCTCATCCCTGCGCACGTTTTCATACTGTTTCTTCTTTTTATCAGCCCCTAATTTAAATATTTTACGGAAATTAAAGAATGACATCCTGAATAATGAGTCATCCAACCACTGAGGTAACAAAAAAAGTCAGTTTTAACACATAAAACTATAAAATTGGATGAAAACTAGCCAGTCACTAAAATGGTTTGCTCCCCCCTGCTGTGCGACTAAACAAAATAAAAACTAGCTTAGCCTTAGACACGTTTCGGACCACTTCGTAAAACGCACAATCCGTAAAAAAAAATCTCATTGTTAACCCCTAAAAATCTGAGGTTAACCTAGACATGCCAAAAAAACTAAAGGAAATCTCTCATTGCGACTTTTATTTTAATGCAAAGTAGCGCTTAAAGCTCGCTGTTGTCCCAACTCCTGGCGACCTACTACTGGCCCGACTACCCTGCGGGGCTTTTCCTAAACAAAAAGAAAATAAGAAAACGTCCTTAAAAACAGGTCAATTCCACGAAAGAGTATATCCCGTGTTGGTGAATAAAAAGGCGACGATATTCCTTGATCAGAAGGTTTTAAAGCCTATAACGGGACCAAAACAGTCCTCTGGTCCCTGGCATGGTAAGGGTTCAGTAATGTAGCGGATTTAGTGTCAAAGCGCGTCCACGAGTGCGCGTCCCCAGTTTCTTTCTTCGTGTCCCTCGTGTTTGACAGTTGGCGGGGTAAATTTGGTCTTTTGCTGCCCTCGTCCGTACTGGAGACCGAATATTAACATGAATACACTCTCGTTTCGCACAATAATTAACTATATCATGTGTTGTCCAAAGGTAAACGCTAAAGACCGCAATGTGTTACTTTTTGGCGATGAAATTCAGAGAAATTTCGCTGCAATCTGGTTTCTTTGTGTCTGAAACACTACAACTCCCAAGATCCAATGCGGCACCAGACACGCTGGACTCATTGAGCGTAAACTACAATTTCAGGTTTTGATGAGTGATTTGTATTTTATTATTTCTTTTTGACACAATTTAAATAAATCTTTGTTAGAATTATGATTTTATATCATCAAATCAAGATTACAGTTTTCAGGAAATATAATGTCACGTGATTTCCTCGGAGGCGTCACTTTTTTCATGATTGGGGCTTGCTGGAGCTAGCCTTTGGTGTTTGTTACTTTTTTTGTAAACTAAAAGAAAGTCTTTTGAATATTTGTGCACAATGACATGTAGTTTGTTACAATGGAACCAAAAGAAGAAATGCCGTCCATGTTATGGGGACTGGATCCGATATTTTCTGCATATGCAAGACTGTACATCAGAGATATCCTACAGATGACAGAATCCACACAAGTGCCAGGTTGGCCATCAGAAACTATTAAATTACCCATTATTATGAGTCGATTGGTCGTTACTTTCTTTTAAAGCCTTTACTCTGTTTTGTGTATTGTGTGTATTTTTGCTATGTGTGTTTGTTATCATCGCTGGTTTACTTTAATTACTTGTCAGGTATTTACTTCTACAACTCACATCCAATCTACAAAGTTGATGTACTAGGAATAGTGGTTTACAAAAGGGAAAGAGATGACTTCTTCTGCTATGGAGGTAAGTAACTATGGATAAAAATTAGTTTCAGATCCCTAAACACATAAACACATAAACACATACTTTCCTTTTTATTTAGTGGATGACAGTACTGGAGTTATCAACTGCCTTTGTTGGAAAAATGACTTAATAAAAGAAGCATTTGTCCCTGGTACTTGAATAGACAATATAAGCAACAATATTATTATGCATGCATACATTTCTTGTTTTTATGATATTTCTTTATTGTCTTAAAAGGAGATACAAAGAAAATTGGTGGAGCACAAGGTGGGTTTGATCCAGTGGCAGAGATGAGGAAGTTACAACGTGCCCAGCAGAATCGATGTCATGTGGAGATTGGAGAGCTGCTTAGAGTGAGGGGACCTGTGAAAACAACAAGGCAACAAAGAGAAATCAGTGCCTCAGTTTTCTGTAAGTCATTGCTTTGAAATAGCTGAATATTGACTTGCAAAAGCAAACCAATAAGAGTAGGATTTTTAACCAAGATGTAGAAACCACCATGTTTCATCATTTGAGACCATGCTTAGACTTAAATTGCTTTCAAGTCTTTTAGTATAAATACTTGCTCAAGTGACCCTACATTACAAAATTGTGTACATCAGAGGGAGGGTGAGTACTGAGCTGCTGTGACTTTGTACTGTATTATCCATCACAGCACATTCATAACAGTCAGAACATTCACACAGTACCCATGTGTTCACCCTTTTTTTTTGCAATCTGTATGAATGACTTACTATAGTTGCATTTCATGACCACTTTCTGTTTGATGGCAATTGTTACATGTATACATTATTTATTACAACTCTTGTTCTTGCCTTTTCCATTAACCAGGATCTTGGAGTCATCTTAAATGTCTTCTCTTTGAAAACTGTTGCTCATACTTTTCTTATATGAGAGTATATGTCATCCTCCCATCTGTGTTTTACTCTTGTGCATCTGTGTGTGTTCCCAGATAAAGTGGATGACCCGCTGATGGCGGTACAGATATCTTGGATGATGGAGGTTCCTGAGCTCTACAGGCAGTGCTATGACAAACCACTCCAGCTACAATCAAACAACACAAGGTATCCATTTCTCAACAGTCTGTCAAGGTGCGTCACGGCACTGTGTCACTTTTATTCAAGATAACAGAGCTGACAACTGATGAGGCCACAGACAATGTTCTGTACAGAAGCTCTGGCAAGACTAAACACATTTACAAATTTGCTGTGTCAGTCAACCTTTTTAAAATGTATGACTTAATTTATAACATAATATTACCTTTATAAACTATACAGAACATTACCTTTTAAAAGTGTTGTCAAAGAGTAGAGGAATGAAATATATAGATAAATGGATAATGATAATTGTAATGTAATTGTAATTTTATTGTAATCAAAGATATGCAAATTTAGAATATAGTTGTCTTTCTAAGACAATAATAACAAACATTTCTAATAGGCAAAAACAGCTGATTAAAAAAATCGATAACTTAATTAAATCCTTCAGAAAAGGGCACACTTTTAATTTTACAGTACTGTGAAATACTTGAACCTAAACCAAGACATTTACAGGAAAGTGTTTGAACATTTCTGATGGACTGGTAAAATATTGTTGCCTGGCAGTGTCATTCCTGCAGTTCCGTTATATTTCATAATAACTCTTATTGCTTAAATGTTGTCTATTTATTATCATTGGAATAATCCAAAAATATTAATTTATTTCATTATCAGTTTTACCATTTTAATACCCAATAAAGGCACATATTGTTCCTGGGTAACCCCATAGTCTACTCCAGGCTGACTGTTTTACTGTGTTGACTCCTGACAATAAACATCCAAATGATAGCAAAAAAGTCCTGAACATTTTGGCACAATCATTAAACCTCAAAATATGAACTGCAGAAACTTCAAATGTATATTGATCTTCTGTATCTTTTAGCAATGCATCAGTCAGTTCTACAAGTAAGGCTGTCAACATTATCCGGGACTTCCTAAACCAGAAATCTGTGGCAAAGTTCAGGCCTTATGATGTTCAAGAACTTTTGCAGCCTCTCATCTTAAATCAGCTCAAAGCTACACCAGGAGATCAGGTAAAAAGTACAGAAATGTTGCACAGCATTGGTTGTTTCCATTATGTATTTTCTTGATGTCAGTACATTTATATTGTAAATTGAAAAGGTATCATCACTGCTAATTCTTTGATTGAAATAGCTTATAAAGGTTCACTATGTATATGTTTGTGTGTTAAACTTGTTTGAACTCCAGGTATGTTTGTGATGAAGAAACAATATTATAATATAGATCAGAAAATAGTGCAATTTAATTTAATGTGCCACAATCTCAAATTATCTTACTTAAAATAATAGACCGACAATTGTTAAAAATTGAGATATTATTAAGTCACAAGTTTACCAACTGTAAAACCAAGTGATTACATGAATAAAGAAAGCATGTGTCGATTTTCTAGATATATCTTTCTAAAATATTGCCCCTCTGGTAGTTATTTTATCATTTGTTTTATTAGGTAACTTGTCTCCTGTTGCGTTGCAGGAACCTGTGGCTGGTCCATCTGGTTGCCAACAGCTACGGCAACTTCTGAAGGAGGCGCTGCAAACTCTACAAGATGAAGGCTTTATATATCGCAAGGTTAAATCCCAGGATGAAGTCTACTCTGTGAGGATAGCTTCAATACTTTAAAGTCTAAGAACAGTGTTTCACAGTGTTCTCTGTAGATTTAATGTGCTGTTCTATCTTCAGGTGACTGGACAGGACAAAGAACTTGTCATTGCAGTGAAAGATGTCATCCGTGAGGACTCAAAGCGAGAAAAATGCAAGTTTAACTAATCGAATTCTGAACTTTTCATTTGATTGACACTTGTATGCTTCTTTGCTGACTTTCTTAATTATACTGTCAAAGAACTAATTAGGAAAACAATTACTCCTACTTAAGCCATTATGTTAATTCTTTCGTTCTATTATTTTCACAATGGCAGTCAGAATGGGGGTGTAGTTTCTTTAAGTGCAAACCTGATAGACTTTTTTTCTTGTACTGTAGATGCAGAGAAGGGATGTCACGTTCTTCACATCCTGTCAGCAGTGAGGCAGCGCTATAGCCTCAATTTGAGTAAAGCGGCGCTGGAGCTGGTCCTCAAATCACTGGAGTGTAACAGTGACATTATCAGCTGCAGTGACACTCATTACACAATTCTTTAAAGCCACCACTCTCTCAATATGTTGTGCATATGTATCAGCCATATATAAGCCCACCAAGTGAGTATTTGTAAATATGAAGATGTTTGTAATTGTAATGCTTTTATGTGGATTAATTATACAACTGAGGTTAAAACAGTTTTACATACTACCTCAGTTGGCTATGTAATTTGAATTTAGCTGGTATTGCAAAAGTCAGTGGTTTGAATACCCCACTATTAAATTATTATGTGCAACTATTAAACTATACAACCACTTTCCATATCCAAAGACTAAATTATTATTATCCATGGATTTCAGAATGTTGAAAATTTAGGACCATTGCCATAGCAATTACCAGTTTTGTTTTGAATGGTGAAATGTCCCTACAGAAAGTAGGGAAACCCATGAATAGGGAGCTTGTCTCCATGGAGATATTATTGTTTGCCTGGAATGTTCTTGTATTTTGTCAATTAAAGGTGTTATAGTTGAAAAAAAAAACATAAAAAATCATGTTGCCCCTCCACAGATCTGACCTGATTTGTCTTTATAGAGTTATTCAAGTTGAATGAAATACTGTGGAATATCCAATCAAAGCAATAATATCTCCATGACGACAAGCTGGTGACGTACTCCCCACTAGAAAAAGGATATCAGGTACCTTAAACATAACACATTGATATCTAAGCCTAATCATCCTACAATAAAGCAATGAAAGTACATCTTCCTCCGGGGAATTTTGGATGAATTGCCCCACTGAAAGTTCCCCTGTTATGGTTACTATAGTTGTTGGAGCATATCACTGTAGAGATCTGCATATTTTAATCGTGATATGTGTTTATGCCACAACAATGACAGTGTAACTTACTCAAGGTCCAGTCGGCTCATTGACTTACACCGTGGCGTGCGCAGGGGGGCAGTATTTAGTTGTTAATTGGCTCTTTCACGTGAGGCTCGCCGCAGCTGATTGGTCGCCTGTGAAACATCTGTATCCATAGTTGAGTTGCCCGTGTCTCCGGCCAGAAAGCGCCTTCACATGACTCAGTGCATGCGGAGTGTCAAACTGTACACGAGGCTTCAACAGGAGCTGGATCGGACTGTTCCCAACCCGAGACTGGATGGTCTGCGTAAAGATTTAACCTATATTAGGCTAATAATGCCCTCGACCTCAGAGAGAAAGTTATCGGGACTGAAGTGGAGGATTTGATAAGCCTGTTTATTAGCTGTGTTTGTGAATACGCCACAAATAACATGTTTGTTATTGCTGTGGCCGAATTGAATCCTTTATTGAAGTAGCCTTGTGTTGCGAAGACGAGCTCAAGCCCATCCCACTCCGTCCCCCAAATTCGCTGCGCCTGCTTCACGCAGGAGGCGTTTGGCGCTGGATTTGCCGGCTCCGAGACCACAGTGCCGTCCAGGTACAGGCTACCAATGCCCCTCTTCTGCAGACACAAAGGAACTCGCCTTACATTTTTGTATTTTTATGGTGACCAGCTTCCTTAGCGCGCAGCTGCTGTTGGCCAGTCCGTGTCTGCATGTAGCCTGAAATCGCTGCATGTCTGCATTTCTGCTGTGGGTGTCCCAGCGCTACGGACCAGCGCGAGCCTCTCGGACTATTGATAAGTTTCCAATCACATAGATGCTCGTTACGTCAACGGAGGGACGTGAGAGCCTCGGATACGGATCATCTCCTCACGGAGCGTTGAGCTGTTAGATGACACGATGCGTGTTGTGTTTTCTCTTTGCTGATACAGTTAGCTGATCTGGAGCTGCAGCAGCTGCGTGCCCGCCGCTTATATGCATAGCCTTTGCAGGATCAAGATGCAGTTTCGGACTGTGTTGGACGTGAAAGTGGTGGACGTGGAGAAGAGGCGCAATCCGTCCAAGCACTACGTGAGTCTCATCTTGTGTGTCACCCATACACCTCGTCCCAGAGCTGTGTCAGCAGTGGCCTGTACGCAGCCACAGCATGGCACTATAAATGCACTATTTTCAATGATGCCAACGTGAGCAGTTCTGCAGGCTAAATGTTCAGAGGCTATAGGCTATACCACTTCAGTTGTAGGTCCTGTATTTTTATAACTGATTATTTATCTTCAGACATGAGCTGTCATCATTCACACTACAGCCCGTAGGATCATAGACTTATGTGTAGAACTCAACTACTCTGGCTTATTGGTCATCTACCATATAGCCTACATATCCTATACGTGAATGCCCTGATGAAAAGTTTTAGTTTCATCGATGTCACCTTAGTCACACACTTTGGAGTCGTTTCATACTGAGTAGACATAGCCCTCTAGTGCTAGAACTTTCTTTGAAGTTCATAATTAAATATTATGAATAGGCCTATTAAAATGTAGGCTACATTAGTGTCAGTTCAGATAATTAAACCCAAATATCTGCATAGCAACAGCTAAGAGAATAGCCCAATGCCACGATCTCTCACATATATATCTTTTTATTGGTTTATACAGCACAGGAGCAGTGAATGTAGTGGCCTCCTCCATCAATACAACACTTGTTCTCTTGTTGGGCCTGTGGTCTTCCAGCTCCAGTTCAGCTTCTATTTCGAGCTCATAAACTAGTTGTAATAAATGTCCGCTGAAAAGAACATAATCTTTTTCATATGCAATTACCGTCGTGTGCGCCCCTGGGCTGTGGGGCTGTAATTGCATATGAGCAGTGACATGCAGACACAATGAGCTCGCATCTACTTTAAAATCATCTTGTTGCTTCGTCTTGTTTCCAATCAAAGCTGTAAATCAGAAGACCCTGGGCTAGTGCTTTTGAAGTGGACATGGGAATCCTGGCTTGTCTGAATGTTACAATGAGTTGTTTACATATTTAAGACTGACCATCTAGCTGAAACTGATGGCTGTTCAGGGTTAGCCTAAAGAACTGTGGGCTTCCTTGGATTCCCATTTGCATCCCAGAGGAATGTTGTCTTTGAGTATCCACCAAGTAAGTGCAGCATCATAACGTGCCTAAAACTCATTGAAAAGTAATTCTGGTCAGTAAATGACTTTAATTGATAATCACTTAACAAGCATTGTTGGGCAAAATCCAAGGTTGTCCCCAAAATGTCAGAAAAGTAATAAAGACATTAGTCACTGCCTGAGAGCAGACTCAGTCTCATGGCGTATGCAATGTCACTAGAACTACTGCCCCACATGGTAGTTATGTAGTAATAGAAAAAAAAAAAAAAAAAAACAACTTAAGAAGTAGTAGCGTAGTTATAAGAGTTGGAGTTCACATTTGTAGACTCTGATGTGGAACAGAGCTCTGGCAAAAATATAATTACCATAGATGAGTTCCTTTCATGTTAAAACTGCTGACTGTATATTTCAGCACCGAGTCTTGAATAACATTGTCTTTTGTATTACAATGATAAGTCACAGTTCTGTAATAAGCATCAATTCTATCCATGACATGTTTATTCTGTATTCTGTAATTAAACACTGTGGTGTGCTAGATGATGATACAGACTACAGGAGAGGTAGTAAAAGTGGTAAGGGCAAATCCTGCAGCTAGGTGGTCCGGAACATAAACAGTTACTGTAAGGTCCCTAGCAGTAAATACTACCCATGCAACTAGGCTACAAATTTTGTTACTCAAGTCATAACTATGTAAACACAGATTCAGAGCAAGCAAGCATGGTTATGTCACTGAAGCTGCTGTAGCTATGCTGACTTGAGCATATGATCTGAAGTCAGTATAGCAGTGCAGTTGCTTATTATAACTCAACTGTCATAGCAGACACACTCCTGAGATACTTAAGTTCTGTTTATTTAAATGTACTTTGTTGGTAGGTAGTACTGTGTTAGTAGTGCTGTATTTGTTGGACCTGTTGTGGAGAGGCATATCAGTGCAGTTAATATGTAACCGGAGCCTGTGCTGGTCTTTGGCATACAGTGATTGGACCTGGCTCTCAGCGGGACAGTCTATGCCCTAGTTTCCCCAGTTACTCTGTCTCATGGGACAGATCCAGCCTGTGTGAGAGGAGAAGCAAAGGACACTGCAGTTTGTACCAGCTACTGACTCTAATATTTGAGATACACTATAACACCATAGACTGTATATAAATGGACATGGGTAACCCGCTTTCTCAGTAGGAAGTGAGCATGGGAGAGCATGGGGCAGCGTGGGGAAGTGAGCCCCATCGACTCTGCTTCCAGTTGACTTTACATTGAAAAACTGTCACCTGTCTCTCTGTAACTACTGTAGTGAGCCTCATTTTGGTCTTAAAATGTGTTTTTATTTAGCAATTTTGTCCGTGAAAATAAAATCCTATTCCTAATATGTAACTCGGCTCTAAATGCAGTCCTATGCCTTGTGAGCTTCATTTGACTGAAGCTGAACGCTATGGGTGAAGTCACACTCCTTTATTACATTTTTTCTATGTGTAAAAGATGTGGGGAATGGTTTAAGATGCTATGTGAAAGTATACTCCATCCATCCATTTTCTTCCACTTATCCGGGGCCAGGTCGCGGGGGCAGCAGTCTAAGCAGGGACTCCCAGACATCCTTCACCCTAGTATTCTATATGAGCAATTTGAATGGGCACAATTAGTAAATCACAAAGGTATCGATTAAAAATAATAATTATAACAAAATACCCTGTAGTATTCGGGATAAAAACTACTAACCCAATAGATTTCTGTTTGATTGCGATTAATATCACAGTCCTGCCAACCACCAGAAAGGTTGCATAGTGCCCCTTTAACTTAATACTTCCTTCCACTTGTTCTGGGAGCGCTGGGCTGCACCACTATAGCGACTGTTGTGATAAAAGTGAAAGCAGAGTTGGCTACAGCTCTGTTTACTTTATACTTGTGTTTCCCTTACAACTCCCAGTCCCATAACATTTCATTTTCAGGAGGCTCCCGTGCTGCGTTCAGGCCCAGACGGTAGGACGGTGTTGTTATTTGGTGCCATAAAACATGTCTTCGGAGACCTGTTCCCCTCTCAAATATTTATTGGCCTTTCAACACAGAGTGATATCTGGCTGAAAGGAGTCCCTGCTTTCAAATGCTCACCCCTAACAGAAAGATGCATGTGGTGGAACAGGTTTATGAGTGCTTTGTGTGATTTTGGCTATTGTTTGAGAAAGCTTCACGATTGGCTTTGAACCTTTAGGGCCCCTGTGAATTTGGGAACTTGTATTTGCTGCTGTTATTTGGAGGAGGATTTGGTCACTGGAGAACATTGAGGGTTTTGATTTGTTTATAATAGAAGCTGGGGGTATTTTTTTTGATAAACGCTGACTCTAAACATGCCTCATCCTTTTTAAAGTAAAAAAATAAATTAAAAAAAGAGAAAATTTTAATCATGCTCATGTGACACATCTATAGTTATGAGCAGTTTTACGTTATAACTCCTCCCTCGGGGCAGAACTAATCTAGCTCAGGGCACCCAGGGCAGTATAAATTCTAGCTTCTCAGTGCAGCACTTTCAGATTAAAAATACCTTCTGGATGGCAGTCATTATGTCTCAATTTCAAAAACTGTGTCATGACGAGCTCTGAATTTTTTACACCAACAATACTGATCAGTGTTTCCCATTAATAGAGGACACTAAAAACTAGCTGAGCAAAAAAAAAGAAAGGTAAAAAATATGTTAAACCAATAAGCATGAAGTATCATTTAATTTACTTTATACTTGTTGGTTAAGCATATAGAGGTAACAATTTTTAATCAGTAATCAGTGCTTTTTTGTTCAGTGGAGGCACACCAAAATATTGTCTTGATTGGAATGATTCAAATATGGATTTCTTGTGCCACCACATTGTATAAACCTGTGGGAAACACTGCTGACGATTAGCTTAGCTTACAGTACTATAAAATAGCAATCAAATTTTGTATTTACTTATTCTGATCTACTTATTATGCTTGTTTCAGTGTATGGATACTGGAGAGCATTCTAATTTAATATTTCATTACATTCAAAGTAATATTTTCTGTTGCAATGGGCCATATCACGTTTAAAAATATAACCGTGTGTATTTTATCACATTATAATATAATAATGAAATCGTCCCATTGTCCGAGTTTTTGTCTACACACTCCTCACTATATGCAATGTCTTGTTTGTAATTTGGCCTCCGACTGGCTGAAGAGGATCCATAATGCACGCAGTCTGCATTGGTCCCACTGTTATTACTGAGTCGTCTCACACATGCTGAGCCCTGTCGTCACGCCCACAGCACCACCAGATGTTGTTTGTGACTTTATATTTGTCTTCTGTTCTTCAGAGGAGGACAATAGCAGTTCAGTGTGGTCTTTTTCTGATTTCTGTTGTTCTGTTAGATTGGCCCATACCCTTCTTGCATTTCTCTTTTGACATGCGATTACATCATCATAAAGGGCCATGAACATGAGTGGACACTGGGTGGCCTAAACTGGCTTCTGCTTTTGGTTGTCATGGAGAAATTGGACTTGGATAAAGTTGATAAAATTGATATTCACATTAAAACAGCAACAGCTACACACCAAACCCTGTTGAATATAGCCTAGCTGTAATGATGTAACAGTGAGATTATCATATTGAAAATTGTATTGAAACTGTACAGTATCTTTTATTTCAATAATTCAATTAAAATGACAAATTCTAATTTTGCTCCTTTTATTTTATGAACATTTAAGTATTCTGTTTTATTAAACTGTAGTGTAACAACACAGTGTTGGGAAGTATTCATTCATTCCTGTAAACAAGTATTTGAAATCTAAGTATAAAACAGAGACAGACTGATATTTGATCTTTTCACCATATCACCTGTCATCTTTAAATCTCAACGAGAGGCTGATTTGTGTTTTGTTTTGACTAATCTGCTGGTTAAAGAGTACACATAAAGCTTAACTGGAACACTTCAATGCAAAGAGATAACTGTACAA